ATCTCAGCATTCTGGGCCTTTTCCTTCCACCCTATCTGACTTCAACCCCGCATCACGTGCTAGGGTGCTCTGTGCTCTCATCACGTCATCAAAAGCAGTTACCAGGACAGGCACTGGTCTACATGGAATTTTGAGGAGAGTCTGATAACCCCACCCTCCTGTGCCCATGTAGATGCTTAGCCTAAAAGGTTACTGGAAATCTGCAGAGTAAATGTCTCTGGAATTCTATCAGCCATGAGATGGGAAAGGTGCAGAGTCTTTCCAAAATGCCACCTCCCCTGACCTAACTAATAGGAGCACTAGAGAAAATTGATGATACTGGATTTCTGAGTGTGCTGCGAATTTTTTTAAAGCAACTTATTTGCTGTTGTTACTTCCCTCCTTTGTGTATCTGGTTTGAATATGTTTTTCACATGCTTTGGGCTCAGATGAGTTTTTAACTCTATTCAATGATTAAAATGTATGGGACACTACAAGTTGCCCAGCAGTGTGCGGAGCTGGTAAAGCCATTTCTACCTCAGCCGGTCAAAGCAGACAATGGTTGCACGTGCTAAATTTTAGAATATTATTTCTTTTCAAGATGGAGTCTTGCTCTTGTTGCCCAGGATGGAGTGCAATGGTGAGATTTCGGCTCACTGCAACCTCCACTTTCTGGGTTCAAGCAATTCTCTTGCCTCAGCCTCCCGAGTAGCTGGCATTACAGGCGCCCACCACCACGCCCAGCTAATTTTTCTATTGTTAGTAGAAACGGGGTTTCCCCATGTTGGTCAGGCTGGTCTCGAACTCCTGACCTCAGGTGATCCACCTGCCTTGCCTCCCAAAGTGTTGGGATTACAGGCGTGAGCCACCGTGCCTGACCTAGAATATTCTATCAAAAATGAATTTCTGATCTTCTGTTAAAGATCTTTCAAATATGCTATACACTAGACATTCCAAATTTTATTACTTTACAGTTATATAGGTTGTGCAATCATATTTTGCATTTAAGCTTTTTAATACAGCATAATTTCCACAGTATCTCTGTGGAATAAGCATATATATATATATATAATTTTGTTAAACAAAAACATTGGAAAAAAAGGGTAGGCATGATAGCTCATGCCTATAATCCCTGCAGTTTGGGAGGCCAAGGCTGGAGGATCACTTGAGGCCAGGAACTCAAGACCAGCCTGGGTGAGACCATATCTCTTTAAAAAAACACCAGCAAGGCTGGGTATGGTGGCTTATGCCTGTAATCCCAGAACTTTGGGAGGCTGAGGCGGGAGGGTCACCTGGGGTCAGGAGTTCAAGACCAGCCTGGCTAACATGGTGAAACCCCATCTCTACTAGTAGTACAAAAATTAGCCGGGCATGGTGGTGCACACCTGTAATCCCAGCTACTCAGGAGGCTGAGGTAGGAGAATCGCTTGAACCTGAGGAGACAGAGGTTTCAGTGAGCCGAGATCGTGCCACTGTACCCTAGTCTGGCAGATAAGAGTAAGACCCTGTCTCAAAAAAAAAAAAAAAAAAAAAAAAAAATTGAGTGCAGTTATCACAATCCATCCGGATAGAGAAAGTTATACAGCATTAGAGGAATCAGAGTTCTTGAAGTAGTAACATTTGCTCTTTCAAACAGAGATTTTTTTATTGTTTTTACATCAAATGAAACTTAAGAGACAAATGTTATCAAGTATTCATGTTCAACAGCTGTATTTATAGCTCATTATAAGCCTGCTCATTAAAATTTTTATTTAAGGACTGAATTTATGTTTATCATTTGCACAGGGCATGGTTCTTCTCCTGTCATTTGTTTCTCTAAACTGAACTTGGAGCGAACCCATCCATTTTCCACCTCAAGGTGGAACAGGAAGGTAAGGCAGATCTGAGGGCTCCTCAATGTGAGGTTGGAAACTCTTCTCTCTAAAATACACTGAAAGCTGAAGGCTGTTTCTTCAGTGTGAGGAAAGTCAGGTAATCCACATTTTCATTATAATGGGGTAGAGCTTTTTGCTTACATTTGGAAAGAGTTGCTTTGGAGAGTGTCTGTAATTATCAACTTATAGCAGTATATTTTTGTTCCCTGTAAACTTTCTATTAAAGAAAATTAACATGAAGTCACATGGAAAAAACCTCAATTTGTGCCAAGAACTTCTATAGTAATTTTTTTTTTTTTTTTTGAGACAGAGTCTGTGTTGCCCAGGCCAGAGCACAATGACATGATCTCAGCTCACTTCAACCTCTGCCCCCCTAGTTCAAGTGATTCTCGTGCTTCAGCTGGGATTACAGGCATGCACCACCATCCATTTTTAGTGGAGACAGGGTTTCACCATGTTGGCCAGGCTGGTCTCAAACTCCTGGCCTCAAGTGATCCACCCACCTCGGCCTCCCAAAGTGCGAGGATTACAGGTGTGAGCCACTGCGCCTGGCTATATTAATTCTTTGATTCAATAATAAAACAGTTAAAAGAATGTCTTCTGCTACTTACTGCGAATTTTTTAAAAAGGTAATTTAGCAACTGATCTAATTTAGCTGTCTCTCAAGAAAACAAAAACAATCCTAGACACCAAATTCACTGTTTCAAAAGTAATCCAAAGATGTAGAAAATGGTCTATCATGGGCCACTGAGACATAGTTAGATCATTGTGACCCTGAACCAATTTCTCCATGGTTCACAAGGCAAGGAAAAGTATTATAGCTAAATGTAGTTTGGAAACATCTTGATGTTCTAAAACACATTAACTCACGCTATAAATTACTTTTTACTTTACAAACTTTATTAAATAATGGGCGTTACTAACTTTCATTATCTTATATACAGTATTTAAACTATGTTTTCCTAGATGCATTTTTTTTCCCCCACAAAGAATAGAGCAGGTGAAAAGTAAACTTATATAAAAAAAATTGAACCTGCAGTACAGGAAACTAGTAAGAACTTGACATACTTTAAAGTACATATAACTTTTCCCCCTGTTATATACATCCCCAACCCACCTCTAAAACAATTTTAAACAAAAGCAATTGATAACTTTCAGGAAAAAAATACAAACATGATTATATATATACACACAGCTCTCAAAACCTGTGTCCTGGCCAACAGAAATGATCTATAAATCTAGATTTGTCCTAAAACCTAAAGACATGTAGACATTTTATACAGTAAGATACCCACTTACGTGCAGTAAGGTGTATTCCTATGGGTGACATCAAAGTCATGCAACAAGACACTGGCGTGAAGAAGTAATTTCTGAGAGTCAGACAGAGCAGTAATATGAACTATATAGAATCGGATAATACTAACCAAAAAGCGAAAATGCGAAACAGCTTTCCTGGGACAAGAGTCAGGTAATTTTGCTCATAGGTACTACAAATGCACTTACACACACCTCTAAGAACATACTTTCTTGGCCGGGCGCAGTGGCTCATGCCTGTAATCCCAGCAATTTGGGAGGCCGAGGCGGATGGATCATGAGGTCACGAGTTTGAGACCAGCCTGGCCAACATGATGAAACTCCGTCTCTACTAACAACACAAAAATTAGCCAGGTGTGGTGGTGGGCACCTGTAATCCCAGCTACTCAAGAGGCTGAGGCAGGAGAATCGCTGGAACCGGGGAGGTGGAGGTTGCAGTGAGCCAAGATTGCACTCCAGCTTGGGCAAAGAGACTTGGTCTCAAGAAACAAACAAAACAAACAAACTTTCTTGTGGTACTTATTTTTGATTGTTTCATCTTGAAAACTCATATCATGTCCAAATAAAGACAATAAAGAAGGAATGTTTCCAGACCATGCTATTCAATGTAGACTTTCCTTTATAAGCTATAAGAAGAATACTTTGGAGAAGCAAGAAACTTGGGTTATTTTTTGTTATTTAAAAAGAAAATCAAATGCCTTAGGTACCTATTTGTAAGATATAAAAATGCTCATATTTTATGTTTTACAGTTAAGAAAAAGAGGCATAGGACTTACAAAGAGAAAGAATTATGTCACTTACTCAATATTACTGCTTACCTTTAAATGAAGAGCCCAGGCCCCTTTCCCTATATAGATATTATTGTATCTTTTAAAATAGAAACTAAGAGCATGGTAGAGAGGCTGTAGAATGTACATCTGATTAAAATGAGAATACAAAGGCCACCGCTTGAGAAAGCATTCTTGCTGCATTAACTGCAATCTTCAATAAAATCGAATATGTTTATGAAGTCACAATTTATCTGCCTTCATTTTTCTTTTTAGCTTCGATTTTGCTTTTTATTCAAAATGTCTTATTTTTGTTTTTTTGTTGCCTAAGGAGTTAGATTAGTATACAGTGTCACAATGAAATGTCACAAATGGTCAGAACATAAAAGGTGTTAGTCAGCACCTAGTAACCAAAGATTTCATTCTTTTATATACCTGAAAACAATGAAAAAAGGCTCCCATGTTATGTGTGGTTTAGGAAATAGATTCTTGCCCCATTCCTGCAGCCAATGACTCCTCAGGGCCAGGATCAAGGAGGTCATTTGGCAGAATCCCAAACTCAGGAGGGTGCATGTGCAAAGCTGCTCTGGAAAGGGTAAGTTTAAAGTGCTTTGTCTGATTTTAGCTCATACTTAACTTTGTATTGATTAGAAACAGGCACACAACATGGTCTGGTGGGATTTCAGTTTTGTTTTTTCTCTTTCAACTGTCTGTCATTTGAAGAGGTAATCAAATGGTTCCCAGAAGTCATCCCATCTTTTTTTTTTTTTTTTTAGACGGAGTCTCGTTGTGTCACCAGACTGGAATGTAATGGCATCATCTCGGCTCATTGCAACCTCCACCTCTTGGGTTCAAGGGATTCTCCTGCCTCAGCCTCCCGAGTAGCTGGGACTACAGGCAGGTGCCACCATGCTCGACTATTTTTTTTTTTGTATTTTTAGTAGAGACGGGGTTTCACCATGTTGGCCAGGATGGTCTTGATCTCTTGACCTCGTGATCCGCCCCCCTCACCCTCCCAAAGTGCTGGGATTACAGGCGTGAGCCACCGTGCCTAGCTCATCTTTTCTAATAGTTAAGTCAGTCTGCATTTTATTGACCATGGTTTTCTCTAAGTCATTAAGGAAATCATTCCTTTCACCCCAGAAATTATATATAAACATGATGAGCAGCTCATTCTCTAGGCCTTGTCCAGGAATAGTGGTAAGGGGTTTTGCGTACAGAAAATGGGTCCTGCTACATTTTGATTTTCAACAGTCACACAATTTCTGCATCAAAATGACATAAAAGAATACCAGCACAAAAACCCTAAAATGGGCACCTCAGACTACACACCAATTACAGATCTCCGGCTTACGTTATCCTAAGGTCTTGCCACAAATATAACCAAAATGTGAGATATAAGCATAATTCTTTCAACAGCTTTCGTTGCCTTTTAAAACGTGACAAACTCTCCTTGCTGCCTTTAAGTCACAGGATAAAACTACCTGGGCCTTCTGGATAACAGGAAAGGATTATTGCATTCTTAAGGTGTGGGCACTATCGTCAGGTTACGGCCATCGTGTTAAAAGTCTAAAAAATTTCAAGTAAGATTGACTTACATGAAACATGAAGACACTCAGCATGAGAAAATATACTGTTGATGCCAACATGTGCTACAGTACAATCCTGGCTGCATCGTCAGCCATTTCAAAAAGTTGTGCTGTAAAAGAAAGTATATTTTACACCTCTGGTTCTTACAAAATTGTTTTAATCTGGTACACATAAAACACCTCATCAGCATCTGTAATGTTTTATGAGCAAAATAAGAAGTTGATTCAGGCAGTTATTATGAAGACCCTTAAGCAAAGCTGCTTGAACTGAGACACTGAAATTTTTCCCTTAGAGACTGGACAATATTTTGTTGATTGGGGGATGGCCCCCTCCAAAGATAGTCATTCAGTTTGTCAGAATCATTATATGGTGTCAGATATGGTGAAAGCTCAGGTTTGCTGTTAACCGGCTTTTTTGGAGCGCGCGGACTATTCAAGGAATGCGATGTGTTGCCGCTGCAGACCTTATCAGAAAAGTCAGCATCCACAAACTTTGAGTCAGATTTCCTTCTACGATTGTGAGATGGCTCCAACTCTGACTCATCTTCTTCTGACTTGATTTCCACATAGTCATCTTCATCTCCATCAGTCTCTTTGAAATTGGAAAAATAGTTCTGTGTTGCAATTTGGGCATTTAAGGGTAAATTTCTATTGACCACCACAACTTTCTGTGAGTCTTGGAGTGTGAGATCTGAGTTTTTTTCAGTGTCCTGTGGATGCGAGTCAGCAATATCTGGCAGTAAGTCCTGGTGACTCTCACACCTTGAACTTCTGTGTAAAGACAGCAGCTGCTGCTTTCCCATGTCACTAGGGTAGTTGATGGAGTCCATTGATTTGTTTATCAAGACGGAGGAAGATGACTGGGACCTGTGATAAGGCTGAGATTTCGCACTGATCCCTTTCCGACCTAAGGAGTTGTGAAGATGGTCCTGACACCAGTTCTCTTTGTTGGGCTGACTTACTACCACGCTGCATCTCTGCACAGAGCCCAGCAGAGGGTCGGAGGTTTGAAGAGAAGGTACAGAGCAAGCTGCGGACAATTGCCTGGGAGTACTTTTTGTATTGATCTCAAACGTGGGATATCTTGACCTCAAGTCTTGCTCTGGTGGGAGACAGAAATCTGCTAACTCTCCATTACTATAGGTTGAATGCAGAAGCCAATCTTCACTACCATGGTGGACCTGGGAAGGTGACGCAGACCTCAGGAGGGAGGATTCTTGAGGGCTGGCCCAGGCATCCTTCTGAATTTTCAAGGGAGACTCTCTGAATACAATCTGGTCATACAACTGGGAATACTCAGCAATCCTGGCACCTGGAAGGCAAATATTGAAACAGTAAATACACACAGGATGATTCCTATATGTGAAGATTAAAAATAAGACAATAATATTCTAACCAACATATTTTAAAATTTTGACAGTAGACAAGACTAAGTGATGTTTAAGGATGAGTAATCATTGAACTCTAAGCAACACACACACACACACAAATCCATGGTTTAATATAAATAAAAATGCCACCTAAAAGTTCATTTAATTTCATCTAATTCTCCATTATTCTGTTTCAACAGTAGGTCTGCAAATGTCCACTATATAGAATGAAAGTTTCTAGTGTTCTTTATAAGCATAAAACAGTGTCAGTGCTGAAAACATGCATCATAAAAATAAGAAAGTCAGCACTTCAGCCTGCTCAATGAAAAATCATTCAAGCAGTGTTTAAAAGCAGCATCGCAGGGCTGGGTGTGGTGGCTCACGCCTATAATTCTAGCACTTTGGGAGGCCAAACCAGGTGGATCACTTGAGGTCGGGAGTTCAAGACCAGCCTGGCCAACATGGTGACACCCCATCTCTAATAGAAATACAAAAATTTAGCCAGGCATGGTGATGTGCACCTGTAGTCCCAGCTACTTGGAAGGCTGAGGCAAGAGAATGGCTTGAACCTGGGCGGCAGAGGTTGCAGTGAGCCGATATCATGCCACTGCACTCCTGCCTGGGTAACAGAGCGAGACTCCATCTCAAAAAAAAAAAAAAAAAAAGCAGCATGACCACAATCCACCATGCAATGGCTACCCCCTGGCTTCCGATCATTCTTCTTTGCTCTCAGACAACTGCTCCTAGAGGAGTTGGCTCCTGGCTGTTCCTGCACTTCTTGCTTCCAGACAGCCCTCCACCGCCATTGTCTGGGGAACCAGTGTCTACTAAGGAAAGTTCTCCCCTCAAGTGCTTCAAAACCACATGTATTGACTCACTCACATCTCATTTCACATCCCCAAGAAGCAGAGCACTAAAGCCTAGGCCGCCAAGACATTAAGAAGGAACCGTCTGTGCATGTACTCAATAATCTAATGCCCTCTACTATTGGTTCAAGAATAGGACCTAACAGTTACTTCCACAAAAGCTTTTGCCACATAAAATTAAGCTACAAGTCCATTCTCCCCTCTGCCCTGATTCTGAGTACAGATATTTCTAAATATTAATACATTAACCATGCTATGGGTAGGAGATTCTCTTTAGCTAGCAATAATTTAAGATGGGAGCCCAGAGATGTCAATTTCAAGATCTGCCACCCTCCCCAATCCAGGTACCTGCACAACCACGCTAGAGTCAAAAAACTCTAATGCAGGGGTGTCCAATCTTTTGGCTTCCCCAGGAGGCACTGGAGGAAGAAGAACTGTCTTGGGGCACACATAAAATACACTAACAGTAGTGATAGCTGATAAGCTTTTTAAAAATCGCAAAAACAAAGCAAACAAAAAAACCCTTAATGTTTTAAGAAAGTTTACAAATTTGTGTTGGGCCACATTCAAAGCTGTCCTGGGCTGCATACAGCCTGTGGGCCATGGGTTGGACAAGCTTCCTGTAATGCATTTTGTATCTTGCTCAGACCACATTGACACAATCTCTGTGGAGGAAATGTATCCTACATATGACAACCAGCAGTTAATACTGTTTTCTTCTTCTTCTTTAAGCTATTTACATTTTTAATGATGTGTTATCAGTAAACTATTTCTTGAACTTAAACTATTAATAAATATTCATTTAGGTGAATTTTGCCATTTCTTTTGAGTCTATCTTCTATGAGGAGAGAAAACAACCTGTTATTGTTTGACCTTTAATTGTAATCCCAATCCCTCGCCCCCCATTCCCTGCGATCAAGGTAAACCGTCTAACTTCTCATTGCACACCTATACTCAGATCCTTTGAGTTTTCAACTCCAAATTCCTTGGAAGAACAGAGATTATTAGTGTTGAAATTCCTGGTTACAAAAATTTGAGAAATGATTCCTTAAAAGGCGCAGTAAAGACTCTTAATACTAACTAGGGTTTAGCAACATCTTAAGAGAAAGAGTGTAAAAGTCTCCACAGACACCAGTGTGCCCATGGTAGCCATCCTGAAACCTGTAATATTTCATTAACTATGAAACCCAATCAAAAGCAGCTGGGTCTTTAATATAGTCATTAGTTAGCAGACCTGCCTGAAAGGTAGATGGTCTGCTCAAGTCATTCTCACATACGGTATAGCCCTGAGCCTCATCCCACAGCTGTATCAGGAAGGCTTTGAACTTCTACAAGTTTCCAAGACGACGGCAATCTTGGAAAATGTAGCAAAACTTTAAAAATTCAAACCAACTCTTCCAGTATCAAAATTTAACCATCAAGTTTTGTAAGAACAATCAGATCTTGACTTTAGCCCAGATAATCTGAAATCACATATCATCTAAAATATCCACAGTATTTCCCAGGCCTGTGTCTTCCTTATTATACGCTCCTTGACCTTTGCTTAATCAAGTCCTACCCATCTCTCAAGATTCTCCATAAGCCCTGTCCTTCTCCTTACTTGAATCATTTTCTGATTTCTCTTCTCTGAAGTCTTATACAGTGTGTACCTGCTGTTGCCTATGTGTGCATACACACACATGCAGACACACACAATTTGTATTGTTGTGTTGCTAATTATTTTATGTAGGTTACTTTATGTAGGTTATTTTCATTTTATGTGTTTTTTTTTTTTTTTTTTTTTTTTTTTTTTGGGACGAAGTCTCACTCTATTGCCCAGGCTGGAGTGCAGTGGCACGATCTCGGCTCACTGCAACCTCCGTCTCCCGGGTTCAAGTGATTCTCCTGCCTCAGCCTACCTAGTAACTGGGACTATAGGCGTGCACCACCATGCCCAGCTAATTTTTGTATTTATAGTAAAGACAGGGTTTCGCCATGTTAGCCAAGCTGGTCTGAAACTCCTGGTCTCAAGTGATCCATTGGCCTTGGCCTCCCAAAGTGCTGGGATTATAGGTGTGAGTCATTGTGCCCGGCCATTTTATGTAAGTTACTTTATTAGTCCTTGAGCTTTTCTTTTCTTTTCTTTTTTGAGACAGGGTCTTATTCTGTCAGCCAGGCTGGAGTGGAGTGGTATTATCATAATTTACTGCAGCCTCAAACTCCTGGGCTCAAATAATCCTCTTGCCTCAGCCTCCTGAGTACCTGGGACTATAGGCATGAGCCACTGTGCCTGGAAACTTTAAATTTTTAAATATTTTGTAGAGATGGAGTCTTGCTATGTTGCCCAGGCTGGTCACAAACTCCTGAGCTCAAGCAATCCTCCTGCTTTGGCCTCCCAAAGTGCTAGGATTACATGTGTGAGCCGCCTCGCCTGGCCTCTGAGCTTTTGGTCTGGGAGAACAATGCTGTACATTTCGTTCAACTCCCTATATAGCACCTAGCATGGTTCTAGACAGAAACTGGTCTCAATAACTAATTCATGACTCTCAAATTTTTTTCACTCCCTCCTTTATTTTACTTATTGTTCTGACTTCTCTTATTATCTCTTATTTTACTTATTGTTCGATTTATTTATTGTTCTGATTTTTTTGAGACAGAGTCTTGCTCTGTTGCCCAGGCTGGAATGCAGTGGTGCAATCTCAGCTCTCTGCAACTTCTGCTTCCTGGGTTCAAGCTTCAGCCTCCAGAGTAGCTGGGATTACAGGCGCCCAGCACCATACCTGGCTAATTCTTTATATTTTTAGTAGAGACAAGGTTTTACCATGTTGACCAGGCTGGTCTTGAACTCCTGACCTCAAGTGATCTGCCCACCTCAGCCTCCCAAAGTGCTGGGATTATAGGTGTGAGCCACTGCACCCAGCCTCCTCCTCTTATTTTAAGCCTAGTTTTAAAAATGGATGCACTTTCCTGAGACCATACCACTGGGAGTGGAAAGGTGGCCTGGAAATCAGGTCATAGCAGAAAAAGGAGAAGCAAGAAGACAGCTAAAATGCTTCCTATAGATAACTCATAATGGGAACAGTTTATCTTTGGATGATAGAGTTGACCATTTATCAATTTTGAATAAAAGGTATCTCACTAGTAGGCAATACAGGTGTGAGTCACTGCACCTGCCGATCTAACGGGGTTTTTTGTTTGTTTCAACTTCACCTTCTAAGAGAGTCTACAGCTTGTGTGACATCTATGTGAACAAGAAACAAGCTTCCAGAGCTCCAGCTGTAATTAAACAGATTCTATTAGCCAGATGTATGGGGAACAGTGAGTCTGAGATGACACCTCTGGCCTAAAAAGCTTCATATTAGCTGAGTTGAGGCTCCCCCATATCCTTAGTTCTAGTATTAATAACTTGTATAGAACGTATACGTTATGATTACATGACAACCGCAAGAATGTCTCTGGTTTATTGCCTTTTTTGAGATTTGAAAGTTGGAGTTCTTATGATCTCAGACAAAAATTTAGAATAATCTCTGCCAAGGGAAATATCAAACAACATATTAATCCTCCAGACAGAGGATTAAAATCAATGTTCCTGATGTCGCTCGAGATGCAGACAAAAGCATAAAATTGTGCCTTCCCTACTCTACACAAGGAGGACAATTTCTCAAGCCTGTATGGAGTTTTCTCCCATGTGAAACGTCACCAAAAAACCCAGAAACCCAAAGGCCTCCTTGCTGTCAAAGACTCTCAGGAGGGAGGTCCGGTGGAACAAGATGACCAGCACGCTATGACAGGCTCTAAGATGTGGGAGCAACTGGACCTGGTTGGGTGATTTATAGGCAGAAATCTGACCCGGGGCCTGGAGACCCCGGCTAGAGAGTTCAATAAAGATGCTCGAGAGTTTCAGCAGGTGAATAAGGTGCTCCTCCTTCCGCACAGCACCGAGAGCAAGCTCCTGGCAAAGCGGCAAGGCCCACACGGAGAAGTCTGGAGAATCGGTCCATTCGATTACGACGTCCTGTGCCCAGATAAACAAGAAAGAGAAAAGGAGTCATCATGTCAACTGATGGAAAGCCTAGTGGGCACAGGAAGTGGTCTCGATCACCCAGCTGGAAGAGGTGTGGATATAACTCGTCAGGTCCTAGGGACATGCCCTTGCCAGATGGTGGGGAAGACAGCACTCTCAGAAGATGACTTTGGAGAGATTTCCTCCTCTTTGCTGGGGAGAATGTCGACAGGAGCCCACCATGTCAAGAAAGGACCCAGACGCAAAGCTGAGAAAAGATCCTGAGGCATCCCAAGACACACCAGCAGGCAAAACAAAAAGGAGAGCCAACCAGAAGTGAAAAGAAAACCCCAATGTGAAATCATTTAATACTTAAAAGGTGGGTAAAAAAGAAGACTATTTAAGGTAGTCGTAGGCCCTAATGATTCGGTATCAAAGGACATGCTTCTATCAAGATTGGAGCTTTGTATTTTAACAGGTGGTCCATATTCAAAACAACCTGCCCCAGAAAATTACTACTTTTTCAATGACAGTCTGTGGGCATAACCCATCATCATAAAAAACTCTAGCATTATATTTTCTCTTATTCTGAGGAGCCCCAACCCAGACTTAGTCAGTGCTTGCAATTGCCAATATACAACTGTTTCTAGGCCATATATATTCCCCTACCCCACCAAAATTGTCCTCCTGCAGCTGGAACTCAGTCACTTTCCCTGTAACAGCAAACCAGCTTAGCAAACGCTAGCATCAGAATAGGGACTTGAATTACTCATAGCGCATCACGGCAAGGAGAAAAATACATGCATTCTGGTCTCACATGCATACAAAACCTTCATTTGATTAAAAAGAACTCAGAGTCTGTGAAATCCTTCAGGCATCAATTCCAGGACTTCGTTTCCCTATCTGTTAAGAAACTGTACTGAAGATTTAAACTTTAGACAATTCTTACTCTCAAAATTAAAAAAAAAAAGTTCCCTACAGATTCTTGTTATGTAACTTGTGGATTCATTTAAGATTTGGATATCCCTTTCCTATACTTCAGTTTCCATGGATGTCAATAAGTCAGTCCCAAAGACAGCATTTAATAGTTAGTGGCATCAACCTGCCCCAACGTGCTGATAATGAAGCTGATGATCAACGCTTGTCCTGATACTAAGCCATCACCCAGCTTTCACTTCTAATTACAGAATAGACTCCTCTCATTTGATACCAAGGTGGTCCTTTGTGAGAAAATCTGGGGCAGGATTTCTTAAAATATGATGAAAAAGGCATACTATTTGAAATGCGTATTCCTGAGCCTGTAGTCAGAAATCTCTCTGCATCTGGAGGTAAAAGCTCCTCAGGCGAGAGCCACTACTCTTGGACTTTTCTTTCCATGACAATCAGGGGCTTTATTCACACGTAGGCTCTTCCCCAAAGATCAGTGCTAAATTTTGGCCTTCAAAAAAGCCTAACCATGAGCATCTCATTCCCATAGTCCTCATCCTACAATATCACACCGAAGATTCTGGTTTAGTTGTGCTCCACAAAGGAGTCTAACTAAAGCATTAAACTCAGAAGCATATATGAAAATACTAAGTGAGATAGTGTTGAATGCATTACAGCAGCTATTTTAAAAAATCGAGTAGTAGGCCAGGTGTGGTGGCTCACGCCTGTACTCCTAGCACTTTGGGAGGCCAAGGCGGGAGGGTCACTTGAGCCCAGGAGTTTGAGAGCAGCCTGGGCAATATGATAAAATCCCATCTCTACAAAAAAACTACAAAAAAATTTAGCAGGGCATGGTGGTGCACACCTGTAGTCCCAGCTACTAGAGAGGCTGAGGTGGGAGGATCACCTGAGCCCAGGAGGCAGAGGCTGCAGTAAGCCATGTTCATGCTACTGCACTCCCGCCTGGGTGACAGAGCCAGACCCTATCTCAAAAAAAAAAAAAAAAATTGAGTAGTAATGGAAATATGTGAGAAAACAACTGATTTATAGTGTGAGCAACTAAGGAAAGTATAATGGCTGGCATGGTGGCTCACGCCTGTAATCCCAGCACTTTGGGAGGCTGAGGCAAGAGGACAGTTTGAACCCAGGAGCTGAGATCAGCCTGGGCAACATGGTGAAACCCTTTCTGTACAAAAAATTTAAAAAGTAGCTGGGCGTGGTGGTAAGTGCCTCTGGTCCCCGTTCCTCAGGAGGCTGAGGTGGGAGGATTGCTTGAGTCTGGGGAGGCTGAGGCTGCAGTGAGCTGTGATTATGTCATTGTACTCCAGTCTGGGTGACAGTGAGATCCTGTCTCAAAAAAAAAAAAAGAAAAAAAAAAAAGGATGCAAAAAAAAAAAAAACCCTCTTTTTGTTAGCATGAGTTGGCATTTTTGTTGAGATCCTGAAGCAAGAAACAATGTGATTCTATATGCTTCCAAACCTTAGAAGATTACACACACCCCTCCTCCTCCTAAGAAATTACTGATGTACTGGAAAAATTGGAGCTATCACAGTTAAGTTAAAACTGATTGCTTTTTTCATACTTTAGATTACCTTAGAGAAAACTCTTCCTTAAAACATTATCTCTGTAGTTACGATGTTACGTGCACACCACCACCTGCTGAGGCATAATCCTGCTACACTGTGCGTAATTCATAGGGGGTGATGCGGGAAAGGCCAGGATGGTTTTGTTTGTGGTCTTACTTTGAGATGACAAAGCGTGTCAGTGTTCTCACAGGTGTGTCCTTTTAAAGGACATCTGAAATCTGAAAACCGCTCTCCCCTCTTACTTTGGAGAAGGAAGAAGGGCAGGGTGCACATACCAATGGCGGGCCCTCCTTGCTTCTTCTCTTCCAAGATGGCAGCCAGGTCTTTGTGCACGGATTTCTGATGCTGACTGGCCGGCGGCTGCTCCAACTCCGGACTTCTCACTTTTAAAAGTTGATTTGCCTTCTTAATCTTCTGACTGTACTGCCGAGCCATCATAAACACCCTGCTTTTTGTCTTATCTGTGGCCTCCAACCCCAGGTCAGGGTTTTCTGGGTCTGTTTGAGACAGGCCACTGTTGGCCTGGTCATAGGGATTGTCCATGAGGGGCAATTCGCTGGCCAGAGAAAGCCGGTTAAGGCTCATAAAAGAGCCTTCTTTAGAAATCAGGTCTTCCTCAAAGGGGCAGTTGGCATGGCTGGCTCTGCCGGCCCTGCTCTTCACAGGCGCGAGGAGAGCCTGGCTCTCGGGCAGGGATAGTGTGGACACAGAGCGCCCTGCCTCCCGGCTCAGCTCAGGCGTGCTCTCTGCGTATAGCCTGTCTGGCACATCATCCTTGCTCACAGGAAATGCTGCCAGGAGACGGTCTCTGGCCTTGTCTTCGTTTTTCTTGATGTAATTTTCCAGGTCATTCCAGATTTCATCTACTTCTTCAGACAGTTTATCAGATACAGGCTTATCAGGCATAGAAAAGTTACAGCTGGGAGAGTCGTACAGCAAACTCAGATAATCATGATCGGGGATGGCCTGATGGTAAGGGGCTTCATCCTCACTGAACTGGAGGCTGTCTTGGGAAACAAACGGCCTCAGGCTGTCACAGCACACGAAGTCAGCCTCCAGTCCCAAAAAGGTGCTCCGCTTTGCACGCTTTAGGCTGCTGCACTTAAAACCCAGCGACGGAGGATCTGGGAGCCCTATGGTGTCATAGATGTTCTCCTCAACTGCTTGGAGTTCATGCGTGCTTTGGCTGGATACCTCTCCACCTGAGAGCGCGCCATCTTTTTGTGCGTAAAGAGAGCCCTTACTGTGGCCAGCTTGCCTCTTTGTGAAGGCTAACTCTGGGGTGCTCTTGGGGCGAACGGAGTCCCTGGCTGATTTAGAGGGCGTGGATTCAGCTTCTTCCCGCTTAGCAACCATTAGTTTTAGGTCCTCATAACTGATGTTATCATAGACATGGTCGATGTCATCAATAGTCAACTCGATGGATGACCCAAAGGGGGCCATTTCCTCCTGCCCTCCTGTTTTGGGGCCGTTCTGCAGTTCCCTAGTTCTGTCACTAGTTCCTATTTCAGGAGGGCACGTGTTGCTCTCCCCAGCACTGCTGGCCCGCCTGACAATCCTGTGACCAGAGCTGGAGGTCTCTGTGGACTCCATCTGTCCCATGTGCCAGCTGCAAGGGCGACTAGAAGTGCTGTCTTCACATAGTCGGGTAGAGTTCAGATCTGAGGAGGAAAAGGAGGGCACGAACATCTGATAATCATCTTCGTCATCTTCGTTCTCCTGCGGGGACCGCCGGCTGGGAAACAAGGCTTGCCTGATCTGGTGGTCGGTCCAGATGTTTCTGAGGGCTCCACCCGTTCGAAGCACGCTGATCATGGCAGAACTGCTGGGCTGACTGTTTCTCTGGGCAGGAGATGGCCTTGCTGAAGTCAGCTGGGGAGATCCTTCCTCTCTAGAAACCTGAGGAAGATGGAAACATATCAACTAAATCACAGCACCATGGAGAAGACACATAACTCAGGAATTTCTCCTGTGTTTACACACGGCCTCCCCCACTAGGCTTTAACCTTCTTTTATTTTTTTTTTCTGAGATGGGGTCTTGCTGTGTTACCAAGGCTGATCTCAAACTCCTGGACTCAAGCAATCCTCCCAACTCAGCCTCCGAAGTAGCTGGTACTACAGGTGTGAGCCACTGCATCTGGCTGAGTGTTTAACTGACTTGAAAAGCACTTCAGATATTTTCAAAAAGGGAAGGACAGGAACTAATATATACTTAGGAACTAGGCTGGGCAATGTGCAGACATTCTCCAAACTTAATATTCACAATCATTTTATGAATTAGATATGATCGTACCAATCTCACAGTAAGGAAATCTAGGTTCCTGAAGTTTCAGTAACTTGCTCTAGTCAGTAGTAAGGCTGGTGCTAGAACCCAGGTCTAACCCCAAACCCTTTGCCCCAAAGCACGATGTAAGCTAAATACAGAAAACTCTTAGATTCTTCAAATAAGTCTGGTGTACACTTGGCAAATATTCATTGCATAAATTAATATACATAGAAGTGAAGGGCCATGCTATCTGGTTTCTATTTGAGACTTTCTAAGAAGCTTTAGAGCCAGTGCTTGTCTCCCAGGGGTTTTAGCATGGTTTCTGGTATACTAAAAGCCCCTTCTGCTGACCTGACCGCACACTCCAAGGATTTCTCTTAAATCTGCAGACCCACCAGGAATATGGCCAGCACTACCTTGGTTTATAGATCCTAGGCAAAGAGTTTTTATTGTAGGAATGTAATTTAATCCTCTGTTGAGTTAATGATATTTTTACTTATTTCAAAATACATTTAATTAACATTTAGTTGCCTATAAGGAAGTAAAATAGGAACGATATTAATAATTTTTAAATTTTTATTGTTTTCTTTGAGACAGAATCTCACTCTGTCGCCCAGGCTGGAGTGCAGGCTGGATCACTTGGCGTGATCTTGGCTCACTGCAACCTCTGCCTCCTGGTGTTCAAGCAATTCTCGTGCTTCAGCCTCTGGAGTAGCTGGGATTATAGATGCCCACCACCATGGTTGGCTAATTTTCGTATTTTTAGTAGAGACAGGGTTTTGCTGTGTTGGCCAGGCTGGTCTTAGACAAAGTCCTGGCCTCAAGAGATCCGCCCACCTTGGCCTCTCAAAGTGCTAGGATTATAGGCATGAGCCACTGCACCCGGCCAAATTAGTGATTTCTGATCAAAGAAAACAATGAGGTCTTTTATAACTTGGAACCCTTCTGGATGGAGCTCGGTGGTGCACACAGGAGCAGATACCCTCTGATCCTATTCTGCAGATAGAAGGATTAACTTCAAAGGCTTGAAAGGGTTCAGACCTAATTAGTACCAGGGACATATATTCTAATAAAACACTACAGTAACCCACTGGAAATGTCAAATAAGCAAGAACTTTTCATCACATATCAATGAAAATGGGATGTTAATTGGAATATCTATTAGGGAGGGAAGAGAGTAGAGAGACAATAATAAAATTTCATCCCAAATGTTATTTTTCTATTAAAACTTAAGCAATTCAATTAGTCATTTATTTCTTTTCACACATACATACACACACAATATTTATACCTAATATTTGTTCAGATATATGTTTTTCACATTATTTAATATAACTTCCTCTTCACCTTACTCAGACTGCACTGGTGTAATGTTATAAAAATACAGGCACTCAGTAACTACTTTTTATAAAGTAAAACAAGGTTAATATTAACTAGTTAAATTATGACAAAACACTTTTAAAGTGTAACAAAATTATTTCGTGTTTCTCAGCCAAAAGTGATCCATCCCAGAAAATTCCCATAGGTTTTAGAAAATTAGGAGACCTGAATTGTTAATATTGAAGTTATCTTTTTAAGGTAATTACACTTGAAATGAAAATAGCAGTTTTGGCCAGGCACAGTGGCTCACGCCTATAATCCCAGCACTTTGGGAGGCTGAGGCGGGTGGATCACCTGAGGTCGGGAGTTCAAGACCAGCCTGACCAACATGGAGAAACCCATCTGTACTATAAATACAAATTAGCTGGGCGTGGTGGCACATGACTGTAATCCCAGCTACTTGGAAGGCTGAGGCAGGAGAATTGCTTGAACCTGGGAAGCAGAGGTTGCAGTGAGCTGAGATGGCACCATTGCACTCCAGCCCGGGCAACAAGAGCAAAACTCCGTCTCAAAAAAAAAAAGAGCAGTTTTTTGGAAGCTGTAAATTTACATCAAATTTATCATTAAGAAAATTGAAGATGCTCTTAAATTAAGAAGTAATCATCCAGGCACGGTGGCTTATGCCTGTAATCCCAGCACTTTGGGAGGCCAAGGCAGGCAGATCACTTGAGCCCAGGAGCTAGAGACCAGCCTGGGCAACATGGTGAGATACCCCGTCTCTACAAAAACAAATTTTAAAAAGAAAGAAAGAGAGAAAGAGGAAAAGAGAGAAAGAGGCAGTGAGTGAGAGAGAGAGAGAAAGAGAGAGAAAGAAAGGAGAGAGAGACAGAAAGAGGGGGCGGGGAGGGAGAGAGAGAGAGAGAGAGACAGACAGACAGACAGACAGGATGGACACATTGACACACACCTGTAACCCCAGCACTTTGGGAGGTGAAGGTGGTAGGATCACTTGAGTTAAGGAGCTTGAGACCAGCCTGGGCAACATAGTTAGACCTTGTCTCTACAAAAAATGAAAGAGTTAGCTGGGCGTGGTGGCGCATGCCTGTAGTCCAGTTACTTGAGAGGCTGAGGTAGGAGGATTCCTGAGCCTGGGAGGTGGAGGCTGCAGTGAGCTGAGACTGTGCCACTGCATTCCAGCCTGGGTGACAGAGTAAGACCCTGTCTCAAAATAAATAATTTTTTTTTTTAAAGGAAAGAATCAGCATATGGTTGGTCACAATATTGAAAGTCATGGTAAAAACCGCACTTACTTTTGCACCAGCCTCATAATTTCAATACCTCAATTTTACCACAGCCAGAATGAACTTTTTTCCTGTCCTTCCACATTCTCAGCATTTGAGCTATTTAACAATGATATTAGCTATCATGTTTTTGTTTTTTGAGATGGAGTCTCACCCTGTCACCCAGGCTAGAGTGCAGTGGCACGATCTCGGCTCACTGCAACCCCCGCCTCCCGGGTTCAAGCAATTCTCCTGCCTCAGCCTCCGGAGTACCTGGGACTACAGGCGCATGCTGTCACGCCTGGCTAATTTTTTGTATTTTAGTAGAGACGGGGTTTCACCGTGTTCGCCAGGCTGATTGTGAACTCCCGAGCTTAGGCAATCCGCCCGCCTCGGCCTCCCAAAGTTCTGGGATTACAGGCGTAAGCCACCCTGCCTGGCCTATATTAGCTATAATTTATAGAACACTTGCTTTGTGCCAAATATTCCATTAATAAGCACTTTTAAGAACATGTTGCATTTAATCTTTATAACAGTTCTGTAAATTAGGAAACCAAGTCCTGGTAAGGTTAAGCAATTTGCCTGCAATCACACGGTTTATAAATGGCAGAAATGGATTTGAATCCGTGTCTTAATCCACAGCTTACACATGAGCTTAACCGCCTCATACACACATGTACGCAGTCTCAGAATATATATTCTGGGAGAAATAGTAAGCTATTATTAAGAAATATTTCCTGTTATAAACTACTTATTTATTTATGAGACAGAATCTCACTCTGTTGCCCAGGCTGGAGTGCAGTGGCACTATCTCAGCTCACTGCAACTTCTGCTTCCCGGCTCAAATGATTCTCCAGCCTTGACTTCCCAAGTAGCTGGGACCACAGGCACAAGCCACCACACCTAGCTCATTTTTGTATTTCTTTTGTAGAGAGGGGGGTTTTGCCATGTTGCCCAGGCTGATCTTGAATTCCTGAGCTCAAAGTGATCTGCCAATCTTGGCCTCCCAAAGTGCCAGGATTACAGGTGTGAGCCACCTGTATAACACGCCTAGTTGTTATAAACTCTTTCATTAGCAGTAAATCTGATCTCCTTGAATTTAATGCACCTTCAGCACATTACTATTAGGAGATGGAATTTTATCACAAAAAGAAAGCATGGGTGTTTTCCTTCTTGCCTTCTGATTGTATCAGGTTTGGTTATGCCCATATGGACCTGGCTTGAGCATTGCTCTAGAAAGTTTCCAAGCAGCTCCTGAGATTGAATCTCTAGAGCTCTTTGATGGGGAGATTCCTTCTTCTAGCACTGAGAGGGGCACGGCTCCACAATGCTACTATGGCTGCTTTGAAGGGCAGGGAGCCTTCTGCAGTGACCCCACTTATGAAATCAAAACCTTATGCCATACTTCAGGACAATGAACCAATTAATATTAATAAGTTTCACACGTTTCCAAACAAAAACATGTATTACCTGAAAAAAAAATGCACACGCCTCAGCCATGACAATCACTTAAAGGTAAGACTATGTTCGGCCGGGCCTGGTGGCTCACGCCTGTAATCCCAGCACTTTGGGAGGCCGAGACGGGTGGATCACCTGTGGTCAGGAGTTCCAGACTGGCATTGCCAACTTGGTGAAACCCCCAGCTCTACTAAAAATACAAAAATTAGGTGGGCATAGTGGTGGGTTCCTGTAGTCCCAGCTACTAGGCTACTCGGGAGGCTGAGGCAAGAGAATTACTTGAACCCGGGAGTCAGAGGTTGCAGTGAGCTGAGATTGCACCAGTGCACTCCAGCCTGGGCAACAGAGTGAGACCCAGTCTCAAAAGAAAAAAAGAAAAAGACTACGTTGATTTTTAGACATTTTCTTGGTTTTAATGGAAAGATACAACATTTATCAATAGGGTCACTTTGTTTCTGTGCTAAGCCATGGTGGAAATCAGATTGTAGGGATAGGTTTTATAGCCATATTCTTCTAGATACAGAACATTAAACAAGGAGCCATGATTAGTTCTCTAAGAATTGTTAATTAAGCCCACTGCTCAGTAGCCACACTGGACAAACCACTCAGGCCAGGAGAAAATACCTATTCTTCATAGGTAATACAGTTGGATATAATACCTTCCAATACAGTATACAATTCTTATTCTCCCTCTCCTAAGCTTTTGTCAGGGGAAGAAAAATCAAAACTTGATATGACAAAGTCTCATTCGATCATATGTCATCATCTCTTATGTCAGCAGCAGAACCGTATTCTTAGAAGGGGGTCCCTCGCCCTTGTGAATGAAGGCTCGCGCTTGGAGGAGGGAGTTATATCCAGGAGGCAGGGGCCTTGGTCTTACACCGGTGGAGGCAAAGGACAATGTGAGGTGGCTCACGTGAGCACCGGGCAGGTATTACACCCTAAGATAAGGTTACAGCCTCTGAGGCGTGATGCGGAGCAGAGGATGAATAAATAATCACCATGGTTCTCAGATGTGGGCTGGGGGAAGGGAAGAAGTTGATAAGGATGAGTCTTTGCTTAAATCAAATGTAAATAATTCAAAATGTAAAATACCAAATTTCCAAAATATAAATAACTGTTGACACTTGCAATACGGGCTGGGGCTGAGAGAGATGGGGAAGCGACACCTATGAAGGGCATCTGAAGCGAACATTTCCAAGTAAGAAATGGGATAGAGCTTACCTTTTGGATGTCTTGTGCTGTTTCTGAAAAATAGAAGGTTGTTTTTTTTCAAGTTTGAGAATGAAAATGTACCTCCCATATAAGTAAGCACTAATATTTTATAGAACTTAGAAACTTATTACTAGTAATTGAAACCCAAGAGACTTCTGGGCCCTATACATCTAATTTTCAGAAAATCCCTGTCAGCTCTCCTAGCTGCATACCCCCATGCTACATCAAACAGCTTTACATGCATCTGAGCACTAGGTGTCTTCATTAATCCCTGACAGCCATTAACTAACTAATTCATGCTCAAGATGTTTCAAAAGTTTCCGAACAAAAATGTGTTGTTTCCTGAAAAAAACAAACAAAAAAACGCACATGCCCCATTCCATGACAATCATGTAAAGATGATATTGCTTCTGTTGATTTTGCAACATTTTATTGGTTTTAACTGAAAGATGCAGCCTTCTTGCAACAAAGGGGTGTTGCCAGTGGAGTTGTGGGGAGAGATTTACATAGCCACATCTTACAGAAGACGCCCTTAGAGCTAGCCTAATTATGGTGTCTCCTCTTTAAAGATGATCACAGAGGCATATGAGGTCCTTCCCTCTCCACAGATCCCATCCTCCGAGGAAACAACAGTTAACAGCTGAATGTTTATCTTTCCAGCTCTTGTACTACCCCCACCCCACCACAATAATGGTTTTGCTTTTACTTTTTATTTATTTATTTTTTTGAGATGAAGTCTCACTCTGTCGTCCAGGCTGGAGTGCAGTGGCACAATCTCGGCTCACTGCAGCCTCTGCCTCCTGGGTTCGAGTGATTCTTGTGTCTCAGCCTCCCCAGTAGCTGGGATTACAGGCATAAGCCACCACACCTGGCTAATTTTTGTATTTTTCGTAGAGATGGGATCTCGCCATGTTGGCCAGGTTGGTCTCCAACTCCTGACCTCAGGTGATCCACCCTCCTCAGCCTCCCAAAGTGCTGGGATTACAGGCGTGAGCTACCACACCCAGCCTGTTTCACTTTTAAAATAAGGATTCAATACGCAACTTTGTATATTCTGCTAAATATATGTGGACACTCTTGTGAATAGGTAGAGATCTACTTTATTTTTGACAGCTGTAGAATATTCCATTGTGTGTATGGATGTACTACAATTTCCTTAAGTATATTTCCAACTGCATGGGCATTTTTATAGTGTCCTATTACAAATACTGCAAACAACAAACTTGTAGAAAAATCCGTCTACATGTGGGTAAGTACATCTGTGCAGGTGAAACTGTTGGGTTAAGGGCAAATGTACATTTTATTTTATTTTATTTATTTTTTATTTATTTATTTATTTATTTTTTTTGAGATGGAGTCTCGCTCTGTCGCCCGGGCTGGAGTGCAGTGGCCAGATCTCGGCTCACTGCAAGCTCCGCCTCCCAGGTTCACGCCATTCTCCTGCCTCAGCCTCCCGTGTAGCTGGGACTACAGGCGCCCGCCACTTCGCCCGGCTAGTTTTTTTGTATTTTTTAGTAGAGACGGGGTTTCACCGTGTTAGCCAGGATGATCTTGATCTCCTGACCTCGTGATCCACCCGTCTTGGCCTCCCAAAGTGCTGGGATTACAGGCTTGAGCCACCGCGCCCGGCCAAATGTACATTTTAAATTCAAATGACTATTACCAAATTTTGCCCCTGAAGCATGGCAAAAACTTACACTCCCACCAATACTTTTGGAGTGACTATTTTTCTATATGTTTTGGCCAAGCTCATAGTTTTTTCCCTTCCATTTATTCCATTTAAATGTATGGATTTTCCGATTATGAATGTGGATGGCCATTAAAAAATTTTATTGCCAGTTTGTGTATTTTTGTGAAACTGCCCAATTTTTTTTTTTTTTTTTTTTGAGTCCTTTGGGCTGGGTGCGGTGACTCACGCCTGTAATCCCAGAAGTTTGGGAGGCCAAGGCGGGTGGATCACCTGAGGTCGGGAGTTCGAGACCAGCCTGACCAACATGGAGAAACCTCATCTCTACTAAAAATACAAAATTAGTCAGGCATGGTGGTACATGCCTGTAATCCCAGCTACTCGGGAGGCTGAGGCAGGAGAATCACTTGAACCCGGGAGGTGGAGGTTGAGGTGAGCTGAGCTCGCGCTATTGCACTCCAGCCTGGGCAACAAGAGCAAAACTCCGTCTCAAAAAATAAAAAATAAATAAATTAAAGAATCCTCTGTCTTTTCTTTTTGATGTATGGAGTTTCTTTATATAATAGGAATATTAATCTTTTTATGCCTGTCAAATATATTACAAGTATTTTATGTCATTTGACTGTACATTTTATTTTAAATTTTATTATTAATATTATTTTTTGTGACGCAGTCTCACTCTGTTGCCCAGGCTGGAGTGCAATGGCGTGATCTCGACTCATTGCAACCTCTGCTTCCCAGGTTCAAGCGATTCTCCTGCCTCAGCCTCCCAAGTAGCTGTGATTACAGGCACGAGCCAGCAGGCCTGGCTAATTTTTATATGTTTAGTAGAGACGGGGTTTCACCATGTTGGCCAGGCTAGTCTCGAAGTCCTGGCCTCAAGAGAGCTGCCTACCTTGGCCTCCCAAAGTGCTGGGATTACAGGCATGAGCTACTGTGCCTGGCTTTGACTATATATTTTATAATGGGACACTTTTATTTATAGAAGTTAATCTTTTTGTAATCAAATCAAATCTGTCAATCTGTAATTTATCTGGTATTTATTTTTGTGTGATTTGTTTTAGTGAGCATCAACAAGAATGAAACAAGAAAATATATTTTATGACTTACCACTAGTCTTCAAAACTTTATGTGATCGTGAGGAAGGTTCTGGGAGACAAAATAAAGCCAGCATCATTTGCAAAACCAAATCAAACCTTTTTCTTTATTCTTTTATAAAAGGATTATGATTCTACTGACAGATTAACAGAGCTCTATAACTTTTGTATCAAATTTAACAAAATCCCCTTTGCTCAGAGATACATAGGAGCAAGACATTCACTCTGCTAAAATGGTAGAATAAATGTTATGCTATGTTATCAGGAGTCACCCAATAGAAAAGCAAAATCTGACTTTGTCAATCCTGTCAGTAGCAGAGCAGCTTCCTCAGCTTTCACTAACACCTACAAGCTGATGACGTTCAATTGTACATTCTTTTTTTTTTTTTTTTTTTTTTTTTGAGACTGAGATTCACTCTTCTCTCCCAGGCTGGAATGCAATGGTGCGATCTCAGCTCCCTGCAACCTCTGCTTCCCGGGTTCAAGTAATTCTCCAGCCTCAGCCTCCCAAGTAGCTGGGATTATAGGCACGCATCACTACGCCCAGCTATTTTTTGTATTTTTAGTAGAGACAGGGTTTCACCACGTTGGCCAGGCTTGTCTTGAACTCCTGACCTCAAGTGATCTGCCCGCCTCGGCCTCCCAAAGTCTTAGGATTACAGGCGTGAGTCACCGCGCCCGGCATCAATTGTATATTCTTATGCCAGACCCTGTCCCAAGTGTCAGCTTCAGCAAACTCAACATCTCCATCCCAGCTCCCCGGTCTCCCCTAGATCTGCTCCTTCATCTGCATATCCTCTCTTGGTTATCGCTGACATCACCCTCCAGGGTTAGTGACCACGCTGTTATTCTACATTTCTCCGGTTTTCTTCCATCACAGTCTTGGGGGTTCCCTGTAATCCTTTCTCCGAGTCACCCCTCTCTTAATCCAAGCCTTCATCTCTCAACAAGATGAGCACCACAGCCTCTTTTTTTTTTTTTTTTTTTTTTTTTTTTTTTTTTTTTTTTTTTTTTGAGACGGAGTCTTGCTCTGTCGCCCAGGCTGGAGTGCAGTGGCCGGATCTCAGCTCACTGCAAGCTCCGCCTCCCGGGTTCATGCCATTCTCCTGCCTCAGCCTCCCGAGTAGCTGGGACTACAGGCGCCCGCCACCTCGCCCGGCTATTTTTTTTTTGTAGTTTTATTAGAGACGGGGTTTCACTGTGTTAGCCAGGATGGTCTCGATCTTCTGACCTCGTGATCCGCCTGGTCTCCCTGCTCACTTCATTCTCCGCACACAGCCAGAGTTATTTCTTGACAAGGAAATCGTTCTCTGAGTTCACTGCTTAAAATCCTTCCACAGCTTGCAGGATCAAGTTCGAACCCTATGCATGACATACTGGGCCTCCAGAATCAGGCCCCCATCTGCGTATCTCTAGCCACATCTCTTTCCATTTCACCTCACCCACCTCTTCCTCCAGCCCCCAGCACCATCCCACTCTCTCCCCAGGCTGAACGACTGGCAACAGATGTCTGTCCTAAAGTACGCTGGCTCAAGCCTCAGGGCCTCCGCATATGCTGTTCCTGTTCCATCTGCCTCCCCTGCTGCCAGATTCTGTCTTGGGTACTGGTTCTCTGCTCTGTGAAGCCTTCTCTCTCTTCCCTACAGGGTTAACTTCTCTCTTATTTCTCCTGTTTTTGTCTCTCTGCTCTTCCTTCCATCCAACCAACCTCTGGCACTTCTCCATCACACGGACTAGTATTTATTTACTTATTATTTTTATTTTTTGAGACTGAGTCTCCCTCTATCACCTAGGCAGTGGCGTGATCTCGGCTCACTGCAACTTCTGCCTCCTGGGTTGAAGTGATTCTCCTGCTTCAGCCTCCCGAGTAGCTGGGATTACAGGTGCCTGCCAACATACCCTGCTAATTTTTGTAATTTTAGTAGAGATGGGGTTTCACCATGTTGGCCAGGCAGGTCTCAAACTCCTGACCTCAGGTGATCCTCCCGCCTCAGCCTCCCGAAATGCTGTGATTACAGGTGTGAGCCACTGCGCCCAGCCTTATTTGCATTTTTCGTCTCTGGCACCATGAGCTCCCTGCAAGCAGGAGTCACGTGGATTATTGATCCTTGCATTCCTAGTCCTTAGCAAAGCATAAAGGGGGTAATGAATAAAGACTGCTTCAAATAAAACCCCAAACCTGTCTGAACTAAGGCAATACTTCATGGAGTCTGGTGCAGCAAATATGAATTAAAATTTTAGCTTTGGATAATCTTTTGTGTGTGTAACTCATAGGATGTGATTTTTCATTAGCAACAGCAAATACGGTTTAAGTATCTGCATGCCAATGGTAAGACGTACAAAGCAAAATTAGCTGACTGGCATGCTTGATAGTCATGGGAAATATTAAGTAGAAAAGAGGCTTTTTTTTTTTTTTTTTTTTTTTTGAGACAGAGTCTCACTCTGTCGCCCATGCTGGAGTACAGTGGCACAATCTTGGCTCACTGCAACCTCTGCCTCCTGGGTTCAAGTGATTCTCCTGCCTCAGCCTCCTGAGTAGCTAGGATTATAGGTGCCTGCCACCAGGCCTGACTAATTTTTATATTTTTACTGGAGATGTGGTTTCTCCATGTTGGCCAGGCTGGTTTCAAACTCCTGACCTCAGGTGATGCACCTGCCTCGGCCTCCCAAAGTGCTGGGATTACAGAGAAAAAGAGTTTTAGATCAAAAGCTTGTGAGTCCCATCTTAAGGCAGCTGCAAATGTATTCAGACCAGCAGTGAGCTGAGAAACCAGATAGAACATGCCCTTTCGTCAGACTCAAAGGGACTTTCATTTCCAGTCCCCCATTAGTATTAAATTTTTATGACAAAATCCTATTTACCAGATTTTCTTCTCAGCCGATACGGAGCAGAACCTTCTTTAGAGCCATACAGTGCTTTCGTCTCTCCCTCAGGACTGTAACAGAAGCCTGGATGATCTGTAAAGATAACCACATGCATCAGCGGGACTGCGCTGTTGGGGGCTTCTCAGAAAATGGTTATGGCTAGCATAGATTTATATGGATTATTATTATTATTTTGAGATGGAGTCTTGCTCTGTCGCCCATGCTGAAGTGCGGTGGCATGATCTTGGCTCACTGCTGACCTCTACCTCCCAAGTTCAAGCGATTCTCCTGCCTCAGCCTCCTGAGAAGCTGAGACTACAGGTGAGCGCCCCCATGCCTGACTAATTTTTGTATTTTTAATAGAGACAGGGTTTCACCATGTTGGCCAGGCTGGTCTTGAACTCCTGACCTTAGGTTATCCACCCACCTCGGCTTTCCAAAGTGCTGGGATTACAGGTGTGAGCCACCATGCCTGGCCTATATGGATTTATTCTTTTTCATCTGACATGGATATGATCCTCCTCCCACAATTGGTGCTGTATATGTATCTCAGGGCTTTTTGTTTACATTGGGACTTGTAGGAGTCTGTTAGCTGGGATGACAAGCTTGAGCCACCACACCCGGCCAAAAAAAAAATAATAATAAAAAATAAATAAATAAATAAATAAATAAAATCTGAAGGCAATTTCTGCTGGCTGAAATGTTGAGGTCTAGAGAATACAGCCCAGCATGGTGCTGGGGAGCTCCAGGCATCATTTCTCAGGTCTGTTGGATGGGAGATGGGAGCCTCAGCTGCAGTGATGGTGGGACTGCACCTGTTTCCACTTTGCCGATGCTGCTTTTCCCCCTGGGGAGTTAACAAGTGCCAGGCTGGAGGGAAGGGAATCAACATTTGCACTTGATTCTGCAAAGTAAGGTATTATGAAAGGGTTAAGTAAAAGTAGAAGTGTCTTCAGTGCAAGTGTCCAGCAGACCTGATTGCATTTAAAGCCATTGTTTTCTCTTTTTATTCTATTTAATCTGAAAAATAACAAAGATGTGATAAATCCTGTGGAATAAGGTCTTATTTAATAGGAAGGACCTGGAATATTTCTTCGCTTCTGCTTTTGTAAGCCTAGAAATACACTCACATATGTGGGGTGGTTGTGATTTTAGAATTTTCTGCTGCATCAGGAAAACCAATACTACGAAGCGATTGAGATTCTTGCAGATAATCAATATTCTGTTAGGGATGAAGTGAGAAATGCATTGTGAAGCCCTGGTTTTTGGTGGTGGTAGAGGTTGGGGGTGGGTGGGGGTAGAGTTGACCCTGGAGACATAACTGACATTGTTAGTTGATGCAGAAACCCAGACTGTGGCCAGCCATCAAGGGACTCAGATAAACCTGGGAGAACCAATGTAGAAACAAGCCAATGGGCTAAGAAGGGATTATACTGTCCACCCAATTTGTGAAAACAGTGAATAGAAAGATACTATTTTCTAACAATTGACATTTTCTTGAACTTTAAGATAGAAAATGTGATAGATACAAATAGACAATGAAATTTCAAATTGTGTTAAGGAAATAAAACTTACGAATGGCATCCATTTCAAGGATTGCTTGCTTGGCCTGAAAGAGAGAAAGTGGGGCTGTAATTCCAATTGCTTTGTTTTTCTTTAAACTCCAAATCTCAACACAGATCTTATCCCACCTGAATAAATAGAGTTTTAAAAACGTTTAAAAACTCGCTATTTATTTTAAGCATTTATACACAGTTCAGGGAATTCAAGCAGATGAGCGCCCTCATGTGGGTAATAGCTGCTACACCATCAAGGCACCAGAGCTAAGACAGCATCACCAACCCTGTGAAAGAGGACGGAGGGAGGCTGGTTCCTAAACCTGGCTGATCATTAGCACTCATTGGCCAACTTATTAAAAATGCAGATTCTCGGCTGGGCGCAGTAGCTCGCACCTGTAATCCCAGCACTTTGGGAGGCCTAGGCGGGCAGATCACAATCACAAGGTCAGGAGTTCAAGACCAGCCTGGCCAATATGGTGAAATTCCGTCTCTACTAAAAATACAAATATTAGCCAGGCAAGGTGGCGGGCGCCTGTAGTCCCAGCTAATTGGGAGTCAGAGGCAGCAGAATTGCTTGAACCCAGGAAGCGGAGGTTGCAGTGAGCCGAGATTTTGCCACTGTACTCTAACTTGGGTGACAGAGCAAGACTCCGCTGCAAAAAAAAAAAAAAAAAAAAAAAAAAATGCAGATGCTTGCCACCCAACCCTGACCTACTGACCCAAAAACTCAAGGCATGGAACCTGGTATCTTTATCACCAGCCCTCACCACGACTCTAGGGCCGTGTAACTATTTTGAGTTAATTGCAAAATGGCTGCTGGAAGTTTCCTCTCATTGTTGTCTTTCCTCCTGCTACGTGATTATTATGAGTTAAGTCTCTCTGTTTCCCCAACTCCCTGCACCTCCCACCTCTTTTATGTGCCCCAGAATCTCCCAGAGTGGGACAGCCCTGAAGGACAATGTCTGTGACCCCAGCTCAGGCACTTCACTAGGTGGGTGCTCTCCCATCCCAGAATGTGCTTCCTCAACTGGACAGTGGGATCATGGAGCCTCTCTTTCAGAACAGTCATTAGGATTCAATGGTCAGCTCCACTGGTGAGTTCCACCCACCCACCCTCATAGGCAGGGGTCCCCAACCCCCGAGCCATAGACTGGTACTAGTTCATGGCCTGTTAGGAACTGGGCCGTACAGCAGGAGGTGAGTGGTGGGCAAGAGAGAGAAGCTGCATCTGGATTTACAGCAGCTCCTCAAGGCTCACATTACAGCCTGAGCTCTGCCTCCTATCAGATCAGTGGCAGCATTAGATACTCATAGGAGTGTGAACCCTACTGTGAATTATGCATGCGAGGGATCTAGGTTGCAGCACTCCTTCTAAGAATCTAATGCCTGATGATCTGAGGTGGAGCTGAGGCAGTGATGCTAGCACTGGGGAGCAGATTAACGTTAGCAGAGAGGTTTGACTGCACAGAGATCATAATAAATCAATTGCTTGCAGATTCATATCGAAACCCTGTCAGCGAGTGACAAGGGGCAATTAAGCTGCATCTGGTGGCAGGCTTTATCGTGGCAAGTGAGTTGATGTACTTCAATTGTACGGCTGCATCCGGTGGCCTTAAAAGTATGTTCGAGGCCGGGCGTGGTATCTCATGCCTGTGATCTCAGCACTTTGGGAGGCTGAGGCAGGCAGATCACAAAGTCAGGATTTCAAGACAAGCCTGATCAACATGGTGAAACCCCGTCTCTACTAAAAATATGAAAACTAGCTGGGCATGGTGATGAGCGCCTGTAACCCCAGCTACTCAGGAGGCTGAGGCAGAAGAATTGCTTGAACCTGGGGGGCAGAGGTTGCAGCACCACCGCACTCCAGCCTAGGCGACAGAACGAGACTCCATCTCAAAAAAAAAGGAAAAAAGTATGTTTGAGGCAACTTCAAATGTCCATACATTCTGGATTAAAGTCCAGGCGAATATCCTGAGATTGCCACAAAACTCAAAAGCCTGCTTCCATTTCCAACATCCTATCTTTGTAAAGCAGGGTTTTCTGCAGTGACAGCCACCAAAATAAGATTAGAACAGACTGTACATAAGCAACACACTTGGGGTGTCGCTGTCCCCCATCACCCCCAGATGGGACCATCTAGTTGCAGGAGAACAAGCTCAGGGCTCCCACTGGATTCTACATTATGGTGAGCTGTGTAACTATTTCATTATATATTACCATGTAGTAATAGAAATAAAGTGTGCAATAAACGTAATGTGCTTTCATCATCCCAAAAGCCTTCCCCTGCCTCTGTCTGTGGAAAAATTGTCTTCCAGAAAACCAATCCGTGGTGCCCAAAAGGTTGAAGACCACGTCCTAGGAGATTGTAGCCTTTCTTGCCTCTTTAAAGTCATTTTCATTTTTTAAGGGTAGTATAATTGAACCTAGAAAATGATACGCTAAAAATAACTTTTAAAATAATTTTACTCTATTTTGCTACCATCTGTGATATCACAGTACAAATATTTCAGCTAAGTGGTGATCATATTTAGTGAAAAAGTGTGGGCCTGAGTCACCTTAGAGAAAACAAATGCTTCAGTTTTTGTAACGCTGATAGCTATCTCTCTTGTACATTCAGAGTCTGAGATTATAAGTTGAAATTAGTAACAAACACAAATGTTAGCTTAGTCTCTGGGAAGTGCAATTACAGAAACATGCTAATATATAAAATGCAAAATACCTTCACCTTTATTCTCAATTAATTTGGAGAAGAGTTTAATTTATTTACCACATACACGAATGGGCAATATGGCTATTTCCAAGAAGTTCCCTGGTAACTGTAGAGCTGACTTCAAGAATGTTTTTTTTAAGTCTTGACAATTTTTAAAGTACTGTTTCCAGTTTTTCCACTAGGTGTCAGCCAAGGACCATCATTGAATTAAAAGAACGGAAGGCAGCTGGGAGGCTGTAACTAATGAGTTTCTCACAGCTGTGTTGATATTATTAGACTGGTGATACAGTTCTTGATTTTAAAAATTTCCCACTATGCATTTATTTCATAGAAATAATAGAAATACATTTTGAAAACTTTAGGAAAATAAATAATCTCGAGGAAAGATGTGGAAAGTTCACTTTAATAATAATCCTGCTTAAATAGAAAAATATGATTACATTATAGTGAATAAAGTATATTAAACATGCGTGTTTGAGGCTGGGTATGGTGGCTTCTGCCTGTAATCCCAGCACTTTCGGAGGCTGAGGCGGGTGGATCACTTGAGGCCAGGAGTTCGAGACCGGCCTGGTCAACATTGTGAAACCTCATCTCTATAAAAATACAAAAATTAGCCAGGTGTGGTGGTGCACACCTGTAGTCCCAGCTACTCAGGTGGCTGAGGCACAAGAATACTTGAACCCAGAAGGCGGAGGTTGCAGTGTGCTTTTTCTCGTATGGATACCGCGCCACCGCACTCCAGCCTGGGTGACAGAGTGAGACCCTGTCTCAAAACAAAACAAAAAAGAAAAATGTGTTTTTATTGCCAGTGGGAACAATGTGGTTAGGATGCTCTTTGGAGCCAGATAGACCCAGATTTGGATCCAGACTTGGTCATGTACTAGTTATACAAACTTGGGCAGTTTATTTAATGTCTCTCAGCCTCTGCTGTTATTTTTTCTAGAATGGGAAGAATAAGAACTACCTCATAACATATTTTGGTGAGGCTGAAATAAGAATATAAATACTCAGCACAGTATGTATGCTCAATAAGTTGTAACTGAAAAGATGTTTTTAGATAGAAGGGATCGACAACCTGGGGAGAAAGTACGATGTTATACTGACTATATCAATCATTTCAGTACTTAAAGGGAACCTCCTGGGACACACACACCTAGTGTGGAGAAAGACAGGTATGTAAGGTGGTCTTGTTTTGTAACTGCCTTTCAGAATCTTGTTAGCGATTGTGATTTTCCCACTAGACAGGAAATAATAGGTAGGGCCCATCAAAGACGCTCTGCCATTGCTCAGAAGGGCGTTCTAAGGCAGCAGGCCAGCAACAAAATGACTAATCATAAAGAAAATGCAGCCCCTCTCTGCATGAGCTCCCTTTCATCTCATAACACCCTGATGAAACGAAAACTCATGCTTAGGTCCCAGTCCACACCTATGCACATTCATTTCCTGAGGACCAAATCATTGCTGGCAGTCCTGAGAACAAGCTTCAAATGCTTGTCAAAATACACAGAGAACAAAACAGACTGTCCCCTTTCTCAGAAATCTCAGCCCTTCTCATTTTCCACCCAGTTCAGTTTTCATAATCATCATCCCGTTGTCTGCTCCACCTCACTCCTCCCAGCCTCAGCTTGGACCATTTCACCATCCATGTGAATAATCCACCCACCACCCTCCCCCTAGTTCCTTGACCACTTTATCTCTAATGACCTTTTCCTCCACTCCAGAGCAGCAACACAGAATCAGAGCCACCTCCAGAACCTGCTCACACTCAAAACCGCCCCACCTCTAAGGCAGGACTCCAAAAGTCCCTTCTTCAACCACAGATTGGTGTATTTCCTTCTCTCCAACATTAAGTCCTGCTGAACCAGGCTTTATGACAATACTGCAGTCCCTCACCCCATACTTCTCTTGCCAGCTGGTTTTCCTCTCCACTCAGCCTGATGTCATGCCCAATTACTGCAACTGCATGCTCACTGGCACCCTCCTCACCCCCGCCCTGGGAACCTTCCCCTACCAGCTCTGCCGGTTCCCAGCCTGGAGGAACCCACACGCACCAGTAGTTTCCAAGTTGCTGAGCAGATTTTGAAATGACGTCATCACACTGATTCATGGGGGCCAGCTTCAGTTGGGTCTTTGATGCCTTCCACAGATTATTCTAGTCATCTCTAGTCACTGGTCCATTTTCTTTCTTTCTTTCTTGCTTTCTTTTTTGATACGGAGTCTCACTCTGTCACCCAGGCTGGAGTGCAGTGGCGTGATCTTGGCTCACTGCAAGCTCCGCCTCCTGGGTTCACGCCATTCTCCTGCCTCAGCCTCCTGAGTAGCTGGGACTACAGGCGCCCGCCACCTCGCCCGGCTAACGTTTTGTATTTTTAGTATTAGATGGGGTTTCACCGTGTTGGCCAGGATGGTCTTGATCTCCTGACCTCATGATCCGTCCGCCTCAGCCTCCCAAAGTGCTGGGATTACAGGTGTCAGTCACTGCACCCAGCCTGGTCCATTTTCTTTAGCAAGTGTTCTTCTGATCCCTTCCACTTTCCCTCAGACACCCCCGATCTCTGCTTCACTCACCCAGCAGATGACTTTATCACCTGCGTGAGTGAAATCAAACGCTTTGTCTTCCCCCAAGTCCACCTCAAAGTTCCTCTGTCTTTCATCTTTTTCTCCCGTGGCTCAAGAGAGATGCTTCCAGCCCTTTCCAAGATAAGCCCCTATTCCTCTGTGTCCCATCCTCTCCCTTCCCACCTCCCCAGGCTCCCTTCCAACAGGAAGTGAGCCACTGTCTCCTCTCCCATCTCCCTTCTCCTGCTGTGCCATCCGCTCTTGAACTCAGCATTCGACCCAGACAAGGAGTCTTGCTTTGCTCTTGCCTCTCTCTCCAAACTATCATTTTTTTTCCTTTTGTGAACTTTATATATAAAAAAGTCTATACGCATTCTGTTCCTTCTTAATCCCCCTTTTCACCCACTGTGACCTTTCCCTTTTCTCTTAGTTGCCAAATCTAAATAAATCTCCTTGACTTCAGCAGCCTTTGAGACTGTGTCTCCACCCCCGTCTCTGAGATGTGCTTTTTCCTGTTAGTGCAGCGCCTCTCCTCAGGCGTCCTCCCTGCCTCCTCCGCTAGTCTTTCCATCTTTCTTTGGCTGTTCTCCAAATCCCCCCACTTGCTTGCGGATAACTTAGACGTTGGGATTCCCAAGGGTTTGTCTTTCCTTTGCATATTTTTTTGGGCCATCTTTTTAAACCTTAGGGCTTCAATTACTGCCTCTAGCAAATGTCTCCTGATCCTTAGATTCCAAGACCTGAATTTCCACCTGTGGCTGACCTTGCCCAGCAGCACGGGTGCCAGTGACAGCAGAGGGCTCCTCTCTCTCACTCCCATCTCACGGGTTCCTCTCCCTTTCTGTCTGTCTCAGTACCCACAGTACCATGCTCTCCTTCAACCCGACTCAGCCTTGACTCTCAGTGGGCAAAATCCTGCCCTCTGCCTCAGTGGCATGTTCTGCATTTGTCCCCTCTGTCGCTGTGGCTCCATGGCAGCACTGCTCAGCTCCTTTCTAGGCCATGGTGGTGGGTTACCATCTTCTCCAGCCTCCAACCTCACTCCTGCCACTTATTTGTCACCCTGTCCCCAAAGTTACACTCTCAGAACACAGGACCGACCATGCCATCTCCCCTTCCTCCAAAGCCTGCAGTAATTTCCCAGTGTGAATGTGTCCAGACTCCTCAGAGTGCATGCCCACAGTCCTCCAGGGGCTCCTGCCCTTCCCCTCCCTGCCCCAGCCCCTGCCTCAGCCCCCGAGAACTCAGTCCTCCCACCCCAGCACCATCTGTGCACCCTGAACACAGTGCATTCGTTCTTTTTTTTTTTTTTTTTAATGCAGGTCTTTAGGTCTGGTTTCCTTAATTCCTTTTTTCCCACTTATAAAAATATTACTAAGACTGGAAACGGTGGCTCATGCCTGTCATTCCAACACTTTGGAAAGGCTGAGGCAGGCAGATCACTTGAACCCAGAAGTTTGAAAACAGCTTGGGCAAGATGATGAGACCACACCTTTCTTTACCAAAAATACAAAAATTAGCTTGGCGTGGTGGCACAAGCCTGTGGTCCCAGCTACTCCGGGAGGCTGAGGTGGTGGGATCTCTTGAGCCCAGGAGATCAAGGTGGCAGTGAGCCATGTTTGCACCCCTGCACTCCAGCCTGGGTGACAGAGTAAGATCCTGTCCAGAAAAAAAAAAAAAAAAAAAATCTCATCCTCTAAGACCGAAGTAAAAGATTAAAAGATGTTTTCCTTCCTCTCTCCACTTAACTGAATTGAACACTTTATTCTTCCACGGCATCTATTACATCTTCATGGTTGGCAGACGGTTCATGGCATCCTCTTCTAAGCCCCAGAAGGAAAAACACCACCACTCCACAGAGCCTGCGGTTCATGTGAACCTTTTTTTTTTTTTTTTTTTCTTGAGACGGGATCTTGCTCTGTCATCCAGGCTGAAGAGCAATGGCACGATCTCGGCTCATTGCAACCTCCGCCTCCTAGGTTCAAGTGGTTCTCCTGCCTCAGCCTCCTGAGTAGCTGGGACTACAGGCATGTGCTACCACACCCAGCTAGTTTTTGTATTTTTAGTAGAGATGGGGATTCACCATGTTGGCCAGGCTGGTCTTGAACTCCTGACTTCAGGTGATCTGCCCACCTTAGCCTCCCAAAGTGCTAGGATTACAGGCGTGAGCCACCGCGCCTGGCCCCATGTGAATCTTTTTGATGTTAATGGCTGGTTTAGCTGAGACATAGTTCCTACATTTCCTATCTCTCAATTTTCTTTCTTTCTTTCTTTTTTTTTTGAGACAGAGTCTTGCTGTGTCACCCAGGCTGGAGTACAGTGATGCAATCTCAGCTCACTGCAACCTCCGCTTCCTGGACCCAGGTGATCCTCCCACTTCAGCCTCCCAGAGTAGCTGGGACTACAGGTGCGTGCCATCATGCTGGGGGTGAACTTTTATATTTTATGTAGAGACGGGTGTCTCACTTTGTTGCCCAGGCTGGTCTCGAACTCCTAGGCTAAAGTGTTCCGCCTGCCTTAGCCTCCCAAAGTGCTAGGATTACAGGCATGAGCCACCATGCCAACCTTTCTATTTTGAAATTGAACATTTATCCTATCAGGATGCCTTGCTGGGACTTCATTAGTAATTAGATGATCTGATTAATGGTTGTCACTCCCAGATTCTAATTCTAAACTTTTTTTTTTTTTTTTACCCAGTCTCTTTGTATTTTTTTGAGACAGTCTCATTCTGTCACCCAGTCTAGAGTGCAATGACGTGTTCTTGGCTCACAGTAACCTCCACCACTCAGGTTCAAATGATTCTCCTCTCTCTCTCCTGTTTCACTGTGCATTATTCAGTGTCCTACCTTAGCTGGAATCTTGGCTGCATGATTCTCCAGAATCAATCTCTTTAGGTGCAGAACCCAGAGGCGTTTGTCTTGCTGGGATTTGGCCTGCCAAGACGAGATGTAGACAGTCAGACAACTTGATACCACCATCCACAGGACCCTCTGATGAGATGGGAAATGACCATGTGGACAGAACCCTCTCAAAAAGCTGCCTGGTACACAGCACTCATCATTACACAAAGTGGCCTTGCGGAGAGGCCAGGGCCTGGCCGCTACCTGGACTGTGTGCTGCAGCTTGGGATTCTTGTAGTGGAAGACGCTGAAGCTGAGCGGCTCCTTCGGAATCACCTCCACGAGCATGAGGTTGCCACACTAGAGCAGAGAGAGCAGAGAGGGTGAGGCACACTCAGGAGGGAATGGAACTGGGGATCTGAGTCCCTGCCCGTGGCCAGCGTGCAGACCTACCAGGATGTGAGCTTTGTATGTAAACGTGTCATCTCTCTTCTTCGTGATGAGCAGCAGCTTGTCGAAGAGGAAGAGTGTCCGCTCGTTCTTGGCTCGCTGGATGCGGAAGGTTCCCTCAAGCACCAGTTCCCCATAGCTGGTCAGGTCTGGCCCCTTCCAGTTAGTGAGCAAACTCTGTATCTCCTGAGAAAGGGAATGGGCCATGGCATTTAACAGGAGGCAGAAGCCAGGCACCAAGGGCTTGATGGCCCATCTGTTGAGCCTCAAGAATGGTGCCAAATCGTCCCCGACGGGGTCTAACGATCAGCATGGTATCTGATGGTCTATGACATGGATCTGCATTTACAGGTGGTGTCACTTAAGGGCTAACAGAAATGAATCAGGCTGTTAGCTGATGAGCTGCTACTTACTTATTTCTATTCCTTCATCATGCCATGCTGTGGCTCACAGCAGCCCTTACATCTTTCAAAAGCCAGGTCCAGGGCCACCAGTATGGGACCTTCTCAGACAGGCCTCCTTCACTTGATTTTCTTTGTTTTGTTTTGTTTCCTTGAGACGAAGTCTCGCTCTGTCACCCAGGCTGGAAGGAAGTGGCGCAATCAGGGCTCACTGCAACCTCCACCTCGCCGGTTCAAGCGATTCTCCTGCCTCAGCCTCCTAAGTAGCTGGGATTACAGGTGCCCATCACCATGCCTGGCTAAATTTTTAAATATTTTTAGTAGAGATGGGGTTTTGCCATGTTGGCCAGGCTGGTCTTCAACTCCTGACCTCAAGTGATCTGCCCACCTGGACCTCTGAAAGTGCTGGGATTACAGACGTGAGCCACTGCACCCAACCCCTTCCCTTGATCTTTCTCATCCCCTCTTCTCTGGGGAAAAAACCCTTCAGAGTTGTTGACTTGAAGACTTTCTTTGAGATAACAAAGTTCATACCACGCATAAATAATTCAAAACTAAAGCCTATATAAATCATCCACGTCATTTTCTCAGAAATTTCTTGAGTTTAAATTTACTTACTCAGGGAAAGGAAAGGAACCTTTCTTTGCCCCTAACTTATATTTCAGTATTTTTTTGGTTAAAATTTTAAAATTTTATGGGTTCACAGTAGGTGTATATATTTATGGGGTACACGAAATATTTTGACAGGCATACAATGCATAATAAACACATCAGGGTAAATGGGCCTCCATCACCTCCAGCATTTATCATTTCTTTGTGTTATGAACATTCCAATTACACTTGCAGTTATTTTATAAGTTACTGTTGACTATAATACCCCTGTTGAACTATCAAATACTAGATCTTATTCAACATTTTTTTTTTTTTTTTTTGAGACAGAGTCTCGCTCTGTTGTCCAGGCTGGAGTGCAGTGGCGCAATCTTGGCTCATTGCAACCTCTGCCTCTTGGGTTCAAGTGATTCTCTTGCCTCAGCCTCTCAAGTAGCTGGGATTACAGACACCCACTACCATGCCTGGCTAATTTTTGTATTTTTAGAAGATATGGGGTTTCACTATGTTGGCCAGGCTGGTCTCAAACTCCCAACCTCGGGTGATCTGCCTGCCTCGGCCTCCTAAACTGCTGGGATTACAGGTGTCAGCCACCGCATCTGGCCTAGATCTTATTGTCTCTAAGTAAAGTTTTGTATTCATTAACCACCCCCACTTGCCCCACTCCCTGTTTTAGTGCTTTTAATGGAAATTGATAAATATAAACTAATAACATGACTTTGACTTTTCTGTGGAATTTATTGTATATCAATATCAGTGTTTTTAAAGGAAGTTGATTTTATTATTTTGAAAAACGAAAATAGTCACAAGCACCATTTAATTAAGGAACCCACAAGACAACAAAAACTTTACTGGTTGAAAACAGAAATGAACAGAAATGGAGTATTAGTTTGAGCCAGAGTCTGATTCAGTAATGACTTCAGAATGTCAAGCAGCTTCACAGAGTATGAAAAACCAGCCATTTAGACATTTCTGAATACAGTAGTCCCCCTTATCTGCAGGGGATATGTTCCAAGACCCCCAGTGGATTCTCAGAACTGGGGATAGTATCGACCCCTAAATATACTATGTTTTCCCTACAAATACATACCTATGATAAAGTTTAATTTATAAATTAGGCATAAGATAATAACAACAATAACTGATAATAAATTAGAATAATTATAACAATAGGTCAGCATCACTGCTCCGTTTGGGGGCATTATGAAGCAGAATAAGGTTGACTTGAACACAAGCATTGCAAAACAAGACAGTCGATCTGATAACCAAGCCAGCTACTGAGTGACTAACAGGTGAGTGGCCGTAGGCAGTGTGATTGGACAAAGGGGTGATTCATGTCCTAGGTGGGAGGGAGAAGGGCAGTGTGAGATTCCATCACGCTACTCAGAAGGGTACACAATTTAACATTTACAGATTGTTTATTTCCAGAATTTTCCATGTAAAAATTTTTTTTTTGAGATGGAGTCTTGCCCTGTTTCCCAGGCTAGAGTGCAGTGATGTGATCTCAGCTCACTGCAACCCTGTGTCCCGGGTTCCAGCGATTCTCCCACCTTGGCCTCCCAAGTAGCTGGGGTTACAGGTGTGTGCCACCATGCCCAGCTAATTTTTTGTAGTTTTCTTTTTTCTTTTTTTTTTTTGAGACAGAGTCTTGCTCTGTCACTCAGGCTGCAGTGCAATGGCACGATCTCAGCTCACTGCAACCTCCAACTCCTGGGTTCAAGCAATTCTCCCGCTTCAGCCTCCCAAGTAGCTGGGATTATAGGCATGTGCCACCACGCCCAACTAATCTTTTATATTTTTAGTAGAGACAGGGTTTCACCATGTTGCCCGGCTGGACTTGAACTCCTGACATCAAGAAATCCACCTGCCTCGGCCTCCCAAAGTACAGGGCTTACAGGTGTGAGCCATCACTCCTCATTAAAAATGTTCTAACCTTGGTTGACCACAGGCAAATGAAACTGCCGGAAGTGAAAGTGCGGATCAGGGGGATGACTGTATTCAATGGATTCTGATATTATGTCTACAAAACATTTGTATGATAAAGCATTAAACTTTTGTTGCCGTTGCCAAAAAAAAAAAAAAAAAAAAAAAGCAGCCTGGAAGATGAGAATGTCATCTTCCTCTGAGTTTTGATAGTCAATGACATCACACCACACTCTGGCTGCCTATACCTGAAGCCTACAAAGTTTGTTCTGACTTATGAGCCAAATAAGGTATCCTTTTTCTCGAGTTAGGCAAGGCCACTCTGCATAGCGTGGAGTCACTTTGGGCTTTTCTGTCTCACTCTAGGGACAGCCAGGAGCCTGGAACTGGCCTCTGGGCCCACGCAGCCTCTTGTTTTGTTTTTCATAGTGCATCTATTGAAGTCCCAGGGCATGATCACTGGTCCAACATCTGTCAAAAGTTCCTTAAGATTTAGGGCTCAAAATGTTTGTGCTAGATAGGACTTTAGCAAACTTCTCTGTCTTATTTTAAAAATGAGGAAACTGTAGGGCGTGGTGGCTCATGCCTGTAATCCCAGCACTTTGGGAGGCTGAGGCAGGTGGATCATCAGAGGTTAGGAGTTCAAGATAAGCCTGGTCAACCTGGTGAAACCCCATCTTTACTAAAAACAGAAAATTAGCCGGGCGTGGTGGTATGCCCCTGTAATGCCAACTACTAAGGAGGCTGAGGCAAGACGATCGCTTGAACCCGGGACCCGAAGGTTGCACTGAGCTGAGATTGTGCCACTGCATTCCAGCCTAGGCAACAGGAGTGAAACTTCGTCTCCAAAAACAACAACAAAAAAGGAAACTAAAATGACATGCTGGAGTCACGTCCCAAGTGACTGTAAAGGAGCTGGTTCAGCCGTGGCTCCCCCTCCTCTGTGTCCCCTGCCTATGACCACCCACGCACCACCTCATGATTTGGCAAGAACTGGTGGCAGAGGAATAAAGGCTTAACAAGTGTTTATATAGTTTAGGGAAAGTTGCTTTAAACAAGAATTACTAAATTTGCAATTAATAGAAGTAGGAGACTCAAAATTTTAACTTAGATCATCAAAGGGGCTATAAGCAAACAATTAGCTTAAAAGTTATAATTTTGGCTGGGTGTGGTGGCTCACGCCTGTAATCCCAGCACTTTGGGAGGCTGAGGTGGGCACATCAACTGAGGTTGGGAGTTCGAGACCAGCCTGACCAACATGAAGAAACCCTGTCTCTACTAAAAATACAAAATTGGTGGCTCACGCCTGTAATCCCAGCACTTTGGGAGGCTGAGGCGGGTGGATCAGCTGAGGTCAGGAGTTCGAGACCAGCCTGACCAACATGGAGAAACCCCGTCTCTACTAAAAATACAAAATAAGCCAGGTATGCCTATAATCTCAGCTACTCGGGAGGCTGGGGCAGAGTAATTGCTTGAACGCTGGAGGCAGAGGTTGTGGTGAGCTGAGATTGTGCCATTGCACTCCAGTCTGGGCAACAAGAGCGAAACTCCATCTCAAAAAAAAAAAAAAAAAAAAAAAAAAAGGAACGTTATAATGTCACTTTCTCTTAAATAGCCATACTAGACAATGGTCAGTATTACTGATGTCCTGAACTTTTTTCAGGGAGAACTACACTGAAGACCGTGAGTGCAGTGCAGTACTTGCGCAGTCTTAATATTTTATTGGGAAAACAGTCAGTCAGTACACCTGCAACCCTGCTGGGCACCGACACCTCACAGGCTCACCTGTAACCGGACCGCGTGCTCATGTTTCCGCTTCATGTCATTGATGTGCCAGGCGACTCGCTGCATTGTGTCTATAGCATCAAGCACCACATCATAGCCTTCTGTGTCCTTATCAAGGTGATTTTCTATTTCCTTAAACAAAAAAGAACAATTTTTTTTCCCATTTTTTTTCATACAGCCAGTGAAACAAATGCCACCTCTATGATTAGTTCCTTCTATTTTATTTTTACTTATTTATTTACACACTACCAGCTGGGTGTGGTGGCTCACGCCTATAATCCCAGCACTTCGGGAGGCCCAGATGGGTGGATCACCTGAGGTCGGGAGTTCGAGACCAGCCTGGCCAATATGGTGAAACCCTGTCTCTCCTAAAAATATAAAAATAAGCTGGGCATGGTGGCGCAAGCCTGTAGTTCCAGCTATTTGGGAGGCTGAAGCAGAAGAATCACTTGAACCTGGGAGACAGAGGTTGCAGTGAGCCAAGACTGGGCCACTGCACTCCAGCCTGGGTGACAGAGTGAGACTCTGCCTTAAAATAAATAAATAATTAATTAATTGATAAAACATTTACAGACTACCATCATTCTTTAAGCTTTTGAGGCTGGAAATGCCTGCAACAAAATGGTAAGACAAGGAGAAAAAAAAAAAAGGGATAGGAAAGATAAAAGTGGAATAGAATTCCAGGATAAACAGGATAAAATACAACATGCATGTAGCCCATTGAGAATCACAGTGATATTACAGTTATTATAACAGTTGTGGGAATTGATCTTATAGCTGTAGAGTTCTGAGCTTCCTGGTGGCCAATGTTAAACAGTTCTCAGTAATATAGTTCTCACTCTTACAAGATAAAACACATACTTATTTTTTCCCTTATTTATTTAGGAAGCAAAATGTTTCACACAGGACCTTAATATTTAACAGACTCAAAAATATAGCGAAAACTATCTTTACAAAACGATCTCTATAGCAAGTAGGCATTTTAGCACATTTGCCTATAGACAAGGTTTTAAAGACCAAATGAAGTGGACTAAAGACAATCCTTCAGGGTGTTGAGAAGGATCTCATGGTTTCAGCACTCAATTCTCTGATGCTCAGAAGTATGTTACATTAGCAATCATCTTACCACTGGAGGCCCACAATCCCAGGAACATGAGAGAGGGACAGGATTTTTGTTCTAGTTCTTTTGAGCACATAAGACACTTATCCCTTGATCCTCAACAGTCTAAAGATAGAGACTACTGTATATAGTTCCTTTGATTCTTTATCTGTCCTCAGTGCCCAGCAGAGAGCTGGGTGGTAAATAAGTGCTTATTAAACTGAAACTATTGCCTTCTTAAAAACAACAATAACAGTAATCCTATATTAGTGCCTAAAACAGTAAGAAAACACTAATCAATTAGATCGTTCTTGTTATATTTATCATACATAATCAGCTAACAGGTGGAGGTTAAATGTTAGGTACAACTTGAAGATTAGTCCCATTATTTTATAGTAATGACGTAAATCTTTGTTTACTTTTACTGAATATTCAACTTTTTCATCTAGCTAGAAACTGTAAAAGAATTTACATTTTCTTTCCATGCTTGGACTCAGCTGTTAACAAGGTCCTAAATGGCAAATTTAAAAACATAATGATTTCTTCTTTTAGCCTGAGAGACAATTGTGCTCATCAGCAAACAGACTGGGAGGTACAGAGGATATTTCTGTGGGGATTTTCATGGATGGCTACATAACTTTGAAATGACGTGAATGGGCCGGGCTCAGTGGCTCACTCCTGTAATCCCAGCACTTTGAGAGGCCGAGGCAGGCAGATCATGAGGTCAAGAGATCGAGAGCATCCTGGCCAATATGGTGAAACCTCATCTCTACTAAAAATACAAAAAATTAGCTGGGCATGGTGGTGTGCACCTGTAGTCCCAGCTATTCGGGAAGCTGAGGCAGGAGAATCGCTCGAACCTGGGAGGCAGAGGTTGCAGTGAGCTGAGATTATGCCACTGCACTCTAATCTGGCAAAAGAGAGAAACTCCATCTCAAAAAAAAAAAAAAAAAAAAAAAAAAAAAAAAAAAAAGAAAGAAATGATGTGAATGACATAGAGGGAGCCCGCTAATCAACTATAAAAACAGAAAACACTTCAAAAGCAACCAGAAGTCAGTTTTGGATTAATCCAACCACCGTTTTTTTTTTTTCTTCATTGCCAGCCCTTAATATGCAGGATAAAGGCTGTTTTTCCAGTCAATTAACTTTCTGTAAGGATCTTGACTTGTTGTCTCACATGCTTAACTGAGATCTTAAACTTTCCTTTTGAATGATGGCCATCTCACTGTCTAGAAGGCCATATTAGAGATTTTTGGGACACACATGTCTTAGATGTTATATTAACAGAATTTAGCAGAGATGTGTCCTGAGACAAATATTATTTAAGAGTTATTTGGACACTAATTTTGCAAATAAATCCCACTAAATCTAAGAGGTCATAAGGATCGATTCAAAAATTAAAATAATATCCCCGATGTGACTTCAGAGAACATAAGATTCTCCAAAGATAAGCCACCCAGGCAAACAGACGAAGCTAAGAAATTGCTAGTAAAGATGGACAAAGTTCTTGAAATTTTAAATATATGTGAACCAAACAAATCTGGAATAATTATCCAAGTTAGAAACCTGGAATCACTTAAAAAGAGATACCTGTAAACTGCAGGCCTGTTGACGTGGAGAGGAACTCTGAATTAAAATTCCTTTAAAAAGGGGATTTTAATGTATCATAAAAATAATAAAAAACAAGAGCTTATTTTTATCAAATGCCTGTGAGTCACAGTGAATGTGGGCAATTGATAAAATTTAGACCCAGGCAGTCTTTCCCAGAGCCCTGTTCCTAACCACTCCACTGTACTGTCTTTCTCCTGCTACAAAAGCAAGCAACCCCTACTTACAGAATGAAAATTACCTACTATCATAAGTTTTTTTTTTTTTTTTTTTCATTCGCATCAACTGTTTTGGAGGGTAAGAAATAAGAATTTGAGGCCGGGCGTGGTGGCTCACGTCTGTAATCCCAGCACTTTGGGAGACTGAGGCAGGAGGATTGCTTGAGCTCAGGAGTTTGAGATCAGGCTGGGCAACATGGTGACATTCTATCTCTACCAAAAATACAAAAAAATTAGCCGGGCATGGTGGTGCACACCTGGAGTTCCAGCTACTCAGGGTGCTGAGGTAGGAGGACTGCTTGAGCCCAGGAGGCGGAGGTTGTAGTGATCTGTGATTACACCACTGCATGCCAGCCTGGGCAACAGAGCCAGACCCTGTCTCAAGAAAAAAAAAAAAAAAAAAAGAAAAGAAAAAAGAATTTAAGAGATATGATTATCTTTGTTTCTAAAGCCTTCTTGAATTTTGTAAAAGTAGTGGAAAATAATATAAGAGGAGAGACACCTGAAGTGACGCTAAGCCCAGCGTGGAGGTCACTTATGACTCTGCTCATCTGTCCTCTCCCTTTTTAGCCCCTTCTCTTTGCTCTCCACACAAAAGCCAATCTATGACAAATAGCTTTCCTTTCCAATTGCCTACTGAATCGGGGCTGATGGAAACATTACAAAATCTGTTTTCCATTTGCATGATAGCTCCCTGCCTGAAACTGTCAGTGCACAGGGCGAGGCACTCCTAAGCCCCATCAGAATCAGAGCTAAGATTAATCTCTTCTCTTGGCTGTTGTCAATGGGGCTACGGGCCTAGAATATAAACATCTCCAAATCCTCAAAGCAGATTAGTCAGTTGTGAAATATGAGTGTGGGAAATGTTTCCATATGTCCACAGCATTTTCTGGTATTTTCTACCAAACTTAATATATACACACAAAACTCTCATCCCCTGGAAAGTGCTCACGCCAGGCAGAAACTTACATGCAGAAGGAGATGATACTTGAGAATCCGCTGCACTGGTTTCAAGAGATAGGACCCCAGAGGCAGCGAGTGCTTCAGAGTTTCCTGACGTTCCCTGAAGAATTTGGCCAGTATCTTGTTCCTCATGCACTCTGTTAGCACAGCCACGGATCTGCAGGAAGAATCCATGTTTTTATCTAAATTGTAATGCTTTATGTGGATATTCAAGTTTTAAATGCCATTACAAGTGTAAATGCTCTAAAATGGGTAGGGTAGTTCCAGAGCTGCAGCCAGATCAGCACGCCTTTAGGTAAATTGGAGAAAGGGGTCCCTCTGGGAAGGTGAATTAGAAAAAGGCACTGGACCGAGTGGCAGTGGCACCCTGGACTCACGGCTTCTAAGGAACAAGTTCCTTCTTTCTAGGAGACGCAGCCTTGTGCCAGGGCCCATGGCTTGGCAAAATGTATCTGAGTGGGATTTTAGCCCCTAGCTGTGCCCTATCTGGGTATCTCTGTGCGGTGCTCACACAGCACGTCTGTATTCCATTTCCACAGGTTAGATTATAAAGAGTAGGCAGACTTTCCTTCTACTAAGAAAAAGGAGTTCCTTCCTGCTAGAAGATCCAGCCCCCGTCAGAGCATTTATCACCCGCTCTGCTGGCCCCTTTTATATGATGCACAAACTGTGACCCTATGTGGTGGCCTCCCTTACAGACCTCTTCCCTTGGGGGAATCTTTGAACAGGTCTCCCTTTCCACCTCCAAATTGTTATCCTCGCACATAATACAGCTTCTGGGAAGCCAGATAGTCTTGCTCCTATGGAGTGCGCCTCAGATCAGGGTGTTCCAACAGTGGGTTAGAATTCCTTCAGCCCAGATCCCCCCGAGGTGCTGGGCATACATAGCCCCAAAACATCTTAAGGCAATGGTTGAAACAATGCTCATATCACAGAGCAAGCTAATGGCTTGTACAGTCACACACACGTAAATTAAAAATCTTTTGTTCTCAAAATGTAGAAGGAAGCAGGTGGAAATAATTTCAGCCCTTTCCTCCCTAAGTCAGTAATGTTTTCAGGATTAATTGAGAAAATCAGATAGAGCCAAACAACAAAATAAGGCTGTGAGGAAGTTAAATGGAAGTTTCAGAATTAAACCATTAGAATCCCTTTTGTGCCAATCTACTTTGAGAAAAATCTATTCACACTGATTTATTTTCCCCTTGAGTCAAGATTTCAAAACTCTCCATCATGTAACCTAGGAACGTTTCTAAGGTTCTTTAGAGTCAGAATCGGCTGCTCTGTAGCCCTTTGGCCACCTAAAGGCTTGGGCTCTTGCTTAAGGGTAAAAACCTGCAACAAATTAGGAGTACGCTGAGCTCCAGGTTCCCGGAAGTCTTGGGCACAGGCAGGCATCTGAGGACAAGGACCTGGCCGGGTTTGCGCCCCTCCCTGGGGAACAGAGTGTGGGAGCTTGTGTCTCTTCACAGTAAAATCACTGAGGTGTGACTGGTGTGAAGATAGTGGACACTGTCAAGATGTGCCTGCAACATTTAATATCATCAGCCTGGCTCCAAAGGGGGAAGGAAAATTGTCAGATGGGCTGAAATATCTGGCACTTTTGGCTTGTTAAGTGGAAGAAAGGAACTTCGGGTCTCAGAGAGCAAACTGATTGGATACAAGCAGACAAGTTAAAATATTTCTCCATGAATATGAAAACCACACAATTGGGCAAGAAATGGACATGTCTTCTTCACTGAGAACAACTTTTGAGTACCTCTCTGCTAACATGTTTCTTCAGAGTCAGACTCAATTTTTTTTTTTTTTTTTTTTTTTTAAAGACAACTGTCTCACCAGGCACGGTGGCTCATGCCTGTAATCCCAGCACTTTGGAAGGCCGAGGCGGGTGGATCGCTTGAGATCAGGAGTTCGAGACCAGCTTGGCCAACATGGTGAAACCCCATCTCTCCTAAAAATACAAAAATTAGATGGGTGTGGTGGCACGTGCCTGTAATCCCAGCTACTTGGGAGGCTGAGGCAAGAGAATTGCTTGAACCTGGGAGGCAAAGGTTGCAGTGAGCTGAGATCACACCAATGCACTCCACCCTGGGCGACAGAGCGAGCCTCTAACTCCAAAAAAAGACAACTTTCTCCAGAAAATTATCCTTAACCTTGAACTTTTATTACACATTACTGAGTTTGTCCTGTGTTAATTTATATTTATTTGATCTTCCAGAATGTGCTCTTCCACCATTGCATTTAGTTGCATCTGACCTTCAAAAGAACAGAAACTGCTTGAAGGCAGGGGTATTGTTTGCTATTTCCTGCCAATATACACCAGGCTTGGGACGGTGCTCCATGAATGATGAGCTCTTAAAAAGGTCCTTGAGCAAATGATTTTGCCTTTTCCCTGGCTCTGAGGCAGCCTAGCATATAGAGAGGCTGTTTTTATTTTGAACTCTTCTTAGTAAATCACAAAATCTTCTGAATTTGCAATTTTGGAAGTTTAAATTAAGAAGTTATTTCTTCAAATGATATGTTTATAATGAAATTTACACAAACATAATTCCCCAAACAAGCTCCTGTATCGTTTTAGATTCTCATAATTGGGTCCGGAACTTTGTTGATTCTTCAGGATCTGAACGTTTTTTCCTTCCCTGAGGAAGGAGTTTTGTGGAGAAGTTGAGGGCCGATTGATTCTGTGACCCCTATGAGTTAGGGTGTGAGGCAAGCTGGCTTTGGTTTACAATCATGGGATTTAGCTGGGGCATCCTGCAATCTCCTGAAGTTTTCAGCATTAAGATGGAAACAAATCCTTTAAGAGAGAAAATTGCTTAAGTGAAACCATGTAAATTAACTACGGGTGGGTCTACAGATAAGGATGTACAATAAATGTTCTAATATGCATGTGGGTCTATTTATTTATTTTTTGTTTTGTTTTTTTAGGGGAAACTGGGGAAAGCAAGGATCCTCCAAGGGAAAATATTTGCCATGAGTAAGCTGAGCCTCTAAACTTCTGGCCTCTCAATTTTTTTTTTTTTTTTTTTTTTTTTTTTAAGACAGAGTCTTTCTCTGTCAACAAGGCTGGCGTGCAGTGGTGTGATCTCAGTTCACTGCAACCTCCGCCTCCTAGGTTCAAGGGATTCTCCTGCCTCAGCGTCCCAAGTAGCTGGGATTATAGGCATGTGCCACCGCGCCTAGCTGATTTTTGTATTTTTAGTAGAGACAGGCTTCTGCCATGTTGCCCAGGTTGGTCTCGAACTCCTGACCACAGGTGATCTGCCTGCCTTGGTCTCCCAAAGTGCTAGGATTACAGGCATAAGTCACTGGACCTGGCTGCTTCTTAGGTCTTTAAGATATAGGATCTTGCTCTGTTGCCTGGGCTGCAGTGCAGTGGTGCGATAATAGCTCACTGTAGCCTCAAACTCCTGGGCTCAAGCTATCCTCCTGCCCCAGCCTCTTGAGTAGCTCTAGGACTAGAGATGCATGCCACCACATGCAGCAACATCCTGGGTCTTTTAATCTACACTGGCTTTCCAAGGTTACTCCTGACAGTGGGGAGCAGGGGACCTATTTGTTCTTCCTTCCAGAAGTAACACTCAGGGCTCAGCCTGTTGGCTTCTCTTCTAGGTGGATCCCACCATCCACTTTATCGTCAGGGACCTGTCTACCAAGACTGGCTACAGAATGTGTAAAGTCTCCCTAGGGCTCTTCTTCCTGGCTGGTCCTTAAGATAACTCAAAGTTTGGCAGGGCGTGGTATAATTGCAGCTACTCAGGAGGTTGAGGTAGGAGAATCGCTTGAACCCAAAGGTAGAGGCTGCAGTGAGCTGAGATCGCGCCACTGCACTCCAGCCTGGGTGGTGGAGTGAGACTGTCTCAAAAAAACAAAACAAAACAATCCATAACTCAAAGTCTGCTAATCATGTGGGAAAAAAGAAAAATAAAAAGGCAGGGGGAGAATCACAGTTTCAGCAACTTTTACAAGGACATATTCATAGCAGCACGAGGTCTTAGAAGTCAGAGAAGAAACCCTGGTTCAAATCCAGGCTGGGGCATTCATCAGCTATGCGCCCCTCAGAGAATCACCTTACCTAGCAGAGCCTCAGTTACTTCATCCATGAAATGGGGAAGGGGCAGGGATGATGATGAACTAGCACTTATGAAGAACCTAGGAGGGGCCAGGCACCGGGATGGGTGCCCTGCTTTAAAAAAAAAAAAAAAAAAAATTCCCTCAATGTCTCTGGATTGCTTTGAAAAGTTACATTTAGTATTTTGTATTTACAGCATTTAGTACAGTGCTTAGGAATCAGTAAGGGCCCAATAAACGTCTTCTGGAGAAAAAAAAAGACATTCCTACAGTTGTAGCCCATCATCTTAGGCCCAACTCTCTTACTGAAATGGTCAATACATTGTCCAAGGATGCTTCCCACACGGCCCTTGTGACATTGATTTCCAGTGCAAGAAAAACGAACCAACAACCCAGGCGAGATGATGATGCCCCTCTTCTCATCTAGGCTTATGATGATCTGTCCTTCCTCTGAACTCCCTTAAACTTATATAGTTCATAAAATTTATTTGGAAAAAATAGAACCTGTTCTCTCCCCATCTAGATTATAAAAACTCATTAGCAGTGTTTCCAAAATTCTTAAAAACATGACACACACAGAAAAAGGCTAGCAGACAAGACTTACCCTGATGCGATAGCTTGCTTAGTTTCCTTTTGGAGATACCTAGTCATCTTTTTGGTTTCTCCATAGACTTTCTCAATTTTTCCCCACACTGGCTCTGCAGGGAGCCCCAAAGCCCAGATGGATCCGTATCTGGGTACCCCTATAATCTGTTCTCAGGACGTTTTGCATTCTTCCCATATTATTCAGCACAAGGCCAGGCACAGAACACCTAACAACCATGTGTACTGCACCAGCTGACTTGAAACAATGTGAAAGTGAGCAAAAGTACTCTTGTCCCATTCTTGATCCATACCTTGGATAGTTAGTGCAATACTGGGTATAAATGTGGAACTCTTCACTCTGCAAGGAAACAGAAGACATTTTTATAGACAACAAAGCACAGACACATTCATTTGAAAACAATAAAAAGAAATAGTATTTGGGCCTTGACATTTCTACATATATATATACATATATATATATATTTTTTTGAGGCGGAGTTTCGCTCTCATTGGCCAGGCTGGACTGCAATGGCATGATCTCGGCTCACCGCAATCTCCGCCTCCCTGGTTCAAGTGATTATCCTGCCTCAGTCTCCCGAGTAGCTGGGATTATAGGAATGCGCCACCATGCCCGACTTTGGTGGATTTCAATGTCTTTCACAATTTTTTCCTAGACTGCCAAAGAAAAGAGGTATGTAGACAGGGAGAGGAAGTGGCCGGAACTTTTGATGGTAAGACCATCAGAATAACTAATTCAAGGCCAATGAATTACTAGCTCTTGCAAAATCTAAAATAAAATTACTTTTTTTTTTTTGAGATGGAGTCTCGCTCTGTTGCCTAGGCTGGGGTGCAACGGCACGATCTCTGCTCACTGTAGCCTCCGTCTCCACCTCCCCAGTACAAGCAATTCTTGTGCTTCAGCCTCCCAAGTAGCTGAGATAACAGGCATGAGTGACCACGCCCAGCTAATTTTTTGTATTATTAGTAAAGATGGGGTTTCGCTATGCTGGCCAGGCTTGTCTCTAATTCCTGGTCTCCAGTTATCCGCCCGCCTCAGCTTCTCAAAGTGCTGGGATTACAGGCATGAGCCACTATGCTTGGCCTTGAAATTATATTTTGAAAAAGAGCCACAGATTATTTTGGTGGGGTTTCATATTCTGCAATTTTTTTTTTTTAACTTTTACTTTCTTTTACTTTTTAGACCACTTAATGCTAGATTCACATGTGACTCTAAGTGCCTATTTTTCTGGCAGCTTTAATGCTTTAATTTTTTAAAATTCTAAAATCTCTACTTAGAATCCTTCCTGTTAACCTCAATTGGAATTAGGTTGAACTTTTTTTTAATGGAAAGTTTCAAGTAGAGAGAATGGTAAAATGAATCCCCAAGTTTCCATCATCCAAACTCAATAATCATTAACTCCTTGTCTCTGCCCCCTGCCGCTCCCCTGCTTCCCCATTATCCTGAATTAAATTCTAGACATCATTTTGCTTGTAAATAGTTTAACATGTATCTCTAAAATAAGGACTTTATTTTTTTGAGATGGAGTCTCACTTGTGGCCCCGGCTGGAGTGCAGTGGTGTGATCTCGGCTCACTGCAACCTCTGCCTCCTGTGTTCAAGCAATTCTCCTGCTTCAGCCTCCTGAGTAGCTGGGACTACAGGTGTACGCCACCACACCCAACACATTTTTTGAATTTTTAGTAGAGATAGGGTTTCGCCATGTTGGCCAGGCTGGTCTTGAACGCCTGGCCTCAAGTGATCTGCCTGCCTTGGTCTCCCAAAGTGTTGGGATTATAGGCATGAGCCACCTGCGCAGACTAAAATAAGGAAACTAAACAAAATACCACTGTTACACTTAAATAATTCCATAACATCATGAAGTTTCACCAGTCACTATTCATATTTCCTTTTTTCTTTTTAAAAGATTTTGCCTGTTTGGTTTGCAAATAAAAATCACATAGAGCAGGCTGGGGGTGGTGGATCACACCTGCAATCCCAGCGCTTTTGGAGGCCGCGGCGGGTGGATCACAAGGTCAGGAGATCCAGACCATCCTGGCTAACACGCTGAAACGCCATCTCTACTAAAAATACAAAAAATTAGCCAGGTGTGGTGATGGGTGCCTGTAGTCCCAGCTACTCGGGAGGCTGAGGCGGAAGAATGGTGTGAACCCGGGAGGCGGAGCTTGTAGTAAGCCGAGATCGCGCGACTGCACTCCAGCCTGGGCGATAGAGTGAGACTGTCTTAAAAAAAAAAAAAAAAAATCACACAGAGCAAATGGTTGCTATCTCTTTAGTAGTCTTTTTTAATCTTTCAGTTCTCCCCTAGTCTTCTTCCTTTTGCAAGTGAGTTGAAGAAACCATACTGTTGTGCTGCACAGCCCCAGTTCCAGTATTACTGATGACATCCTTAGAGTTTCCTTGTTATTTATGTTTTTGAGATGGATTCTCACTCTGTTGCCCAGGCTGGAGTGCAGTGGCATGATCTTGGCTCACTGCAGCCTCTGCCTCCCAGGTTCAAGTGATTCTCCTGCCTTACCCTCTCAAGTAGCAGGGATTACAGGAATGCGTCACCACACCTGGCTAACGTTTGCATTTTTACTGGAGACGGGGTTTCCCCATGTTGGCCAGGCAAGTCTTGAACTCCTGACCTCAAGTGATCCACCCACCTTGGCATCCCAAAGTGCTGGGATTACAGGCGTGAGCCACCGCGCCCAGCCTGGTTTCATTTAATATGCCCTGTCCATTATAGTCGTACTGGTTTAGTACAGACTTGCTCAGATTTAGGTTCCATAATTTGGCACAATACACTAGTGGCTATTTTGTGCTTCCTCTAATGGAAGTACAATGGAAGTCTAATGGAATTGGGAAGTCCAATGGACATAAAGTCTGGTTGTTAGACTCACACTCTTCTGTGATGCTAACAACCATTGGTACTTACTGGCTAGATCTATTAATTTATTAGGGTTTGGGAAATAGTGGTATTTCTAATACTTTATTCCTTATTTATTAGCTAGAATCTTTCCAAAAAAAGAACCTCCTTATATTAACTCTTGGTTACTCTGCATTTTATGGTCTGTATGGGAAAGGCAGAATAAATGCTTAATTCTTTCCTTTTCATTTCAAGACAGGATCTTGCTCTGTCACCCATGCTGGAGTACAGAGGTGTTGTCATGGTTCATTTCAGCCACAACCTCCTGGGCTCAAGTGATCCTTTCACCCCAGCCTCCAGAGTATCTGGGACCACAGGCATGCCACCACCTCTGGCTAAGTTTTAAACTTTTTTATGGGAACAGGGTCTTGCTATGTTGCCCAGGCTGGTCTCAAACTTCTGGGCTCAAGTGATCCCCCTGACTCAGCCTTCCAAAGTGTAAGGGATTACATGCATAAGCTACCACACCCAGCCAATTCTTTCCTTTAATTTTCAAAATAATGCATTGATTCTCCAGCATCATGCAAATGTGATCAATTTGGTATTTTAATATCACTGCAAATTCATTAATATGGGCCTATTTAATGAGTTTTCATTGTTTTCAGTTAATTATCTTCACTGATGCTCAAATTATCCTGTTTTTGGCTAGTAGGAGCCTCTTCTTGAGCATTCATGACCTGGCCTATGGTGTTTTGTAGCTTGTTTCCTGGTGTGACAAGATGTTCCAGACTATCTTGTATATTTCGTGCCCTACAGTCATTCTTCATGGAGTCCCTATTCCTTCTGGCAGGAAACAGTGTTGGGAGACCACAATCTGGGTATCAGGGACACTCTTGCTGTAGGGTAATCATCATTTCTAGGATTTCTCAGCAGACAGAGGTAGGAAGTGGTGTGTTTTGTTGTTGTTGTTGTTTGTTTTTGAGATGGAGTCTTGCTCTGTCACCCAGGCGGCAGTGCAGTGTTGTAATATCGGTTCACTGCAGCCTTGGCCTCCTGGGCGTGAGTCACCACGCCCGGCCTGCTCTGTGTGATTTTTATTTGCAAATCAAACAGGCAAAATCTTTTAAAAAGAAAAAAGGAAATATGAATAGTGACTGGTGAAACTTTATGATATTATGGAATTATTTAAGTGTAACAATGGTATTCTGTTTAGTTTCCTTATTTTAGTCTGGGCACGGTGGCTCATGCCTATAATCCCAACACTTTGGGAGGCCAAGGCAGGCGGTTCACTTGAGGCCAGGTGTTTAAGACCAGCCTGGCCAACATGGCGAAACCCTATCTCTACTAAAAATTCAAAAAATGTGTTGGGTGTGGTAGCGTACACCTGTAGTCCCACCTACTCACTACAGCCTAGCTAATATTATATTTTAAAAATATAATATAATATATATATATATATATATTTTTTTTAGTAGAGATGGGGTTTTGTCATGTTTGCCAGGCTGGTCTGAAACTCCTGGCCTCAAGTGATCTACCCACCTCGGCCTCTCAAAGTGCTGAGATTACAGGTGTGAGCCACCGCTCCCTGCCTCCAAAGAAGCCTAACCTCTATTCTTTTCCCTTCTAGTATGTTCCCTCCATTCCTGTATCAATTTTTAATCAATTTTAATCAATTTTTTATAATCAATTTTTATTCTTACAGGCTTTCATCTCCTAGATAAACAAATGTTATAGCAGTGATCCTCAAACTTGAGTATCAGAATTACCTGGAGGGCCTGTTAAAACATAGATTGCTGGGTTTCTGATGTAGTAGGTCTTGGAGTAGGGCTTAGGAATCTGCATTTCTAACAAGTTCCCAAGTGACGCTGATGCTGCAGGTCCAGGACCACACTTTGGGAACCACAGTGCTGTACACACACTTTTATCCACTCCCTTCCCCCAGGAGTGCATAAAGATTTTTTTTTTTTTTTTGAGACAGAGTCTCACCCTGTTGTCCAGGCTTGGAGTCTAGTGGTGCAATCTCAGCTCACTGCAACCTCTGCCTCCTGTGTTCACGTGATTCTTCTGCCTCAGCCTACCTAGTAGCTGGGAATACAGGTGCCTGCCACCACGCCTGGTTCATTTTTTGTATTTTTAGTAGAGATGGAGTTCCATCATGTTGGTCAAGTTGGTCTTGAACTCCTGATCTCAGGTAATCTGCCCGCCTCGGTCTCCCAAAGTGCTGGGATTATAGGCGTGAGCCACCATGCCCGGCCAAGATATTCTTTACTGTTATTGCTTCACAGTACTTTATTATGTGATTATGTGGATACCAAAGTTGATTCAAATAGGTTCTTGTTTAGGGACTTGGCTGTTTCTAGTCTTTTGCAGTAACAAACATTAAACAGTATTATGCTTACATGAATTTCTGTCAGTATATCCTTGGAATAGATCTCTCGATGTAGGACTGATGGGTGAAAGGGTGAATTCAGATGCTAGATACACAGCCCAATTCCTCTCCATAGGGGCCGTGCCATTTTCTTTTCCTACAGTTGTGAGAGTGTCTGTTTCCCCATGGCCTTGCCAACATTTCAAGCATTGTACCAAATTTTCAAGCACGCTATTTTAAAAAGTCTAAATTAGTTGCCAACTTTTAAAAGTTGAAAGATACAAATATTTTTATTTCGACCAGGCACGCTGGCTCATGCCTGTAATCCCAGCACTTTGGGAGGCTGAGGCGGGTGGATCACCCGAGGTCAGGAGTTCAAGACCAGCCTGACCAACATAGAGAAACCCTGTCTCTACTAAAAAAATACAAAATTAGCCGGGTGTGGTGGCGCATGCCTGTAATCCCAGCTACTCGGAGGGCTGAGGCAGGAGACTTGCTTAAACCCGGGAGGTGGAAGTTGTGGTGAGCCGAGATCGCACCACTGCCCTCCAGCGTGGGCGACAACAGCGAAACTCTGTCTCAAGAAGAAAAAAAAAATTTCAATTTCTAGCTTCTCCTGAAGAAGTATAAGACCCACCAGCCCAGGGCCTGCCATTTCACATGGCAATGACCATCCCCAGGAGAGCAGGCAAACACCTCGATTGCTACAGACTCTACCTGGGCTCCTTTGTGCACCTGAGTTCGCTTATGGGTTCTTGAAGCCAGCCCAGGCTCCATGGATGAAAATGCCAGAGTAACTTGCCCAAGGTCTATGAGCAAGCTAATGTACCAAATGGGAACTTTTCTCTGATTGGCTCATACTTTCTGAGTTTCTTGCTTTTTCTTTCCTGCCTCTTGCTATACTCAACCTGGAATAGAACAATATCAAGTTGACTTTCCTTACAATTTGGGACCTGCAGGATCATTTAAAATACAAATGAGAAAACAATGGTTTCAATGAAAGTAGGTTGACATTGCATAATATAGTGACCTACTTGTACCCAGCTATCATAAGACCTCACGACTTACGCACAATTCAATTTCTGTGCATTTTGTGATATTATGGTTCTATTCCTATTTTAAATTGAAGGGTTTTGATTTAAATCAGCTATATGTCCTTAATTGGAATTAAATGCAAGTTTGCCCTTAGGTTTGTGAAGCTCTGTGGACCTTACAAATGACGGTGTCACATAAAAATCAACAGTTCCTAGTTAGATACCATTATTTATGAAATATGCCACCCCGAATCTGCTTAGAAGGATTTAGGGGAATGTGTTATACAAATATATACAAATTACAAGAAAATATATTCCTTCTAGTTCTTCAAATCTTTCAAATTATAATTAGAGATGACACAGAAATGAGACATTTAATTATGAAAGAGCCAAAATATGATATAATCAGTGCTGACCAATCAAGCACATGGGTCCTTCAAATATTTATTGAATAGGGAGCCAAAGTAAAGCAATATGTATGATTTTAGGGTTTCTTCTGCTACAGGGTCCTCCTCTCCCTGATTCCTGAGAAGTTTTCACTGGACATTACAAGAAAGACTGAATATGTAAATAGCATATGGGTAAGGTAACTTTGACTTAAATTCACGCTAATCATATGACTATCCAATATCCACACTTCCTTGAGGATAATTTTAGAAAGTGGGTGGTACATGTGCATGCTTTCGTGTGTGTGTGCATGTGTGTGTGTATATATGCATGTGTGTGTGTGCACACACTTCCTGGGCTCTAAGAGGAAGAAGACACAACACAACGAGGGAGAGTAGGCCGCTAAGGGGAGGTTGAGGCTCTAAAGACAGACTTTGTCTCCCTCCTAAATGTTGCCCTGGGTCAGCCTTGCTGCCAGTCAAGAGGAGGGATGGATGTGAAGGTGGAGTTTGTAAAAGCAGCAAAGTGAGCCATTCTAGGTGTTTCCAGGGACCTAAAACAGACAAATGTTTACTGGAAGAAGGTTTGGCCTGCCCAGTAGGAAACTTTAATTTCTGTCCTTCGAGAGAACTGTGGGTTCATTCTTCTACGAGCATCAGGTAAAAAGCGACCATGTTCTCCATTTGTTGATAAGGACTTCTGTAACCTACACTACCATGACAGTAAGCAAGGTCAAAGATGAATCTCTGTGCAGGCCCCAGTGGTTCAGATAAAAGCAGAAGTCAACTGTCAGCTTCACCTCTTTCATTAATGGCCTCCCAATTAAAGCAATTTTCCATTCCTCCCTAGAGTTGAGCAGCTGGTTGTGTTTCAGAAGATGTAACATCTTCTAAATGTCAGGGTGCTGAGTGAAAGGCAGGCAGTGCCTGAGCCCAGCGCTCCCTCACGATTCCCCGTTTCCATGCGAAAATGCAGAGTGCTCAAGTCAGTCTTCTAATTAAACTTGGCAATATTACAATGAAAAGGAAGATTTGGGAGTTGGCAACACGGCACATAAACAAACTTTTATGTGAATAATTAAGCGAGAGCTAAGCATACGCTGGACCATCTTTAATCAACTTGTGATTACAGTTACCAGTAAAAGCCCAAACATTTCCGAAAGCTTCTACGTTGTTTATGTGCTGTGGTTATTCTAACATATCTCCTTTGATAGACTCAGCATATCTTTTTACCCATTTCGCCTTCTTTCATTTTTCTTCTTTTTTTCAAATCCCTGTCCAATTTTGACACAGGCAACTGTGAAAAGGATTGTAAGTTTAAGCTCACACATGGGTAAACGTGTGTGCACAAACATTTTACATGTGAACACACACACACAAAGTCAGGAGAGTTTTATATACGAGCCCATGGATTGCCTTTAAGGAACTTTGCTCCAATAAAACCCAGGGTGTTGTGTTTGGAAGCCATCCGGATGGATCTGCCGCCATCAGAAATGACCCTGTGGAACAGTCCAGAGCCAAGTCAGACTGGAACCACATCTCCCAGTTCACACCCGACTCCGGAGCTCGAAATACAGTGCTAATTCCCAGTGGGTCTCAGAGCGCCATCATGAACTTTTATTAAACCTTCGTGCATTTCAAACTACAACTGCAGAAACCACATGAAAGTTTGCTGCAAAACAATTTCTGCTAAAGGCTTTCCGAAGCTGTTGAATGTTCAAGATAATTTAAACAAGACAGGAATCTTTATATACTAGGTAGCATGCTGAGAAAGTAATGTAGGAAAGGCTCGCCGGGTAGGTTTCAGAATTCCATCTCCTACTCCAGTTCAGAGCACGAGCTTACTGTCATTTAAGCTTTGAAAGTCAAACCCTTTCCTTGTATTTTTTGAAACCATTGATGCAGCTTAAGAAAACAGTGGAAGAGTACATTTTTTAAAATGCAGGAGATTAATTCTGCGTCTCTCTATCTCTCAAAAGATAATTATCTATATTAAAGATAATCACAGAGACTAGGCTAGTGCCACATATATTATACGTAAAATATTTAGTTTCTCTTGGACTTTCACTAAAACTAAACTTTCACTTTCACTAAACTAAACCAGTTTAGTGGTGTTTTATATTTTTCTAACATTCATCTTCTTTTTTTTCTTTTGAGACAGAGTCTTGCTCTTGTCACCCAGGCTGGTGTGCAATGGTATTATCTCGGCTCCCACTGCAACCTCCACTTCCCGGGTTCAAGTGATTCTCCTGCTTCGGCCTCCCGAATAGCTGGGATTACAGGCATGTGCCACCACACCTGGCTAATTTTTGTATTTTTAGTAGAAACGGGGTTTCACCATGTTGGCCAGGCTGGTCTCGAACTCCTGACCTCATGTGATTTGCTCGCTACAGCTTCCCAAAGTGCTGGGATTACAGGTGTGAGCCACCGTGCCTGGCCTATTTTTCTAACATTCTTCTACTCCAGGCTGTCCCCTCCCAAGCTTTAAGTTTTTCCCAGCAAAGAGTAACATTATTCAGTTACTATACAAGTTCTAGAAAAACTAGGAGATTAGCGTCTCCCTGGCTCCAGGAACAATACATTTTTGCTACTCAAACAAACCAACCAGAGAAAGATTAGTGGCTAACTCTATCTGATATGAAATAAACCAGTCATTTTAACTTTAAAATGAAAAATTCTATACTCTGTATCTGTCTCAGTTGGCCCAGAAGGATGAACCCTGCTTACCTTGGACACAAAACACTCTGCTATGGCCACAGGATCATTTTCACAGTTTTCCAAATCTTGCAGAAGTTCACTAATAAAAAAATAACAGCCAGGAAGTATTAGATTGTAGTCTTCTGGGTGAGTATATTTTGTATAATTTAAAAGTTTAAACATTTCCATGGCATTTCCAAGGAATCATATAATTGGATAACTGAGGACCTGCTGTCATTGTATCCAATGATACAATGTTTACAATGATACAATGATACAATGTAAGGGACTTGCCCAAGGTCATGCTGGAGCAGGGGATTAAACCCAGGTGGAACCTGTAGTTCTCCCACCAGAGCTAAGCCCTGCCTACCTTTAAGTTTTGCAGACATCTGTCATCATCTTTATGAATGCTCATTGATGCTCATTCAGACATCAAATAGCTGCCTGGGTACCAGGTACAGTTAAAGGATTAGGAACACATCAGTGAGCAAAGTGAGATACGGGCTCTCGGGGGTCCCCAACTTTTTGGCACCAGGGATCGGTTTCGTGGAAGACAACTCTTCCACAGAATTGCGGGGATGGTTTTGGGATGATTCAAGCACATTACACTTATGGTTAGATTCTCATAACCTAGATCCCGCGCATGCACAGTTCACAGACTGGTATTGGTCTGTGACCTAGGGGTTGGGGACTACGTGGCTCTGGTCTTATGGAGCTTCCAATCCATTGGAAGAGTCAGGCATTCAATGAAACATCACACTAATGAATACAAAATTATAATAGAGATAGTGCTTTAAAGGAGAGATACGTTGGGGAGGGAAGTATCTTTCCTCAAATGTAAACCCACATTATTTTTTTTACTGGGAGTATCATTATTTTAAGTAACAGCATAATACTTCATTGTGTGACTGTACCATAATTAATTCAATGAATCTCACACTGTTGGATAAAATTCTATATATGGTATTGATGGGTCAAAGAATATTCTTAGTGTAAATGTTAACACATTTCTAAATTGCACTCCACATGAGTTATATTAATATACACTTTACTATGCTAAGTGTTTATTTTAATGAGCCATATGTTATATATTTAATAAAAAGTGAAGTAGTTCTACAGGAATTATGATAAAAACAAGCAGTTTCTGGTTCTCTGCTTCTCATTCTCGATGGGCACTGCCCAGAAGCATTTCTGATTCTTTAGGCTGTTTCTGCTCTAAGAAGTCCATGTCTCTAAGCATGCCGATAATGTGTTCTCATTATTTTTCAGTTTTAGGTATTATTTACTTCTCAGTTTCCCCAAACTTACCCTTTTGTCTTCTCAATAGTTCTAAGATGTCTCTCTCTCTCTCTCTTTTTTTTTTTTTTTTTTTTTTTTTAATTTTAGAGACAGGGTCTCACTCTGTCAACCAGGCAGGTCCTCCTGGGCTCAAGTGATCTTCCTGAAGTGCTGGGTAGTATGAGCCACCATGCCCAGCCTTCTCAACTAGTTCTGTTATGTAATTTGATTCGATTAAATGTTAGAATTTACATCTTTAAGACTATGTAAGTATTATGCCCTGTTAGCCTTAGAGTATACCATGATTTCATTTTCTTTCTTAGAGAACCATGTTTTCCCTGGAGTTAAAATTGTTTCTCTTTTTTTTTTCCCTTTTTTCAAGATAAACACCATTAATTTATTAGCAAGTTGTGTGCCAGAAGTATAAGTCTTGTCTCACTGTGTTCAAATATATATTCTATGGTTTGCATTTCTTTCTTGGTGACCTCTGCTCCAACCTGGACAGGCTGCTCTCCAGGCCTGCTGGTTCTTTCATCAACACCATCCTAACGCTAGCCTTCGCTAGTCTCCTGTATTGCCATTTCCAATGTATTCTTTCCTTCGGGAGATTATAAAATTGAGCAATAGCTTTCTGAGTAAGAATAACAGGAGGTATGTTTTCTGAGACTCTTCCCATTTCAAAAATGCTCTCCCTTCACACTTGGCTAATAATGTCAGTAGATATAAAAGTCTTGGTTGGAAGTAATTTTCTCGGAGTATTCAGGGAGCTATTTGTCTACCTGTTGATTTATAGATTCTAATGCTGCTATTGAGATTCCAGTATCATTCTGATCCCCAGCCCATTCTGAAAGCTTTTAGAGTTTCTCTTAGTTGACATAACTACAAAATTTTCTGATAACAGGCTTTGGGTGGGTGTTTTTCATGCACTGAGCCAATGTACAAATTTGGGAAATGATCTGGATAGCAGTTCTCCAAGTGTGGTCTAAGGACCCCTGAGGTTCCTGAGACGAGACCCCTCTAGGAGGTCCACAAGGTTGGACCTCATAAAAAATACTGGGACATTATTAAATTTTTAAACTTTCATTCTCTCATGAGAGTACAGTGAACTTTTCCAGAGGCTACAGGACGTGTGATATCACAACAGATGGAAACTTGAAGCAGATATGAGAATTCAGCTGTCTTCTAGTAAGTCAGGCAGTAAAAAGATCTGTGAAAATGTAAAACAGTTCCAAAACAAACAAAAAAATTTAGTGGAAAAAGTAGTAAAATTATTTTTCTAGAAATATGTGAACTTGTTTCTTTTTTAGTATTAAATAAATAGATATCTTAACAGGTTCTCAGTTTTCGTTTCTAACGTGGCAAACAAAACATAATAAAACACAAACAAAAAAGCTTTTTGGGTCCTTCGTAATTTTTAAGCATGTAAGAGATCCTGGACCAAAACACTTGAGAATCTCTGCTCCTGGCTGGGTGTGGTGGCTCACACCTATAATCCCAGCACTCTGGGAGGCCGAGGCGGGCATATCACCTGAGGTCAGGAGTTCGGGACCAGCATGGCCAACACGGTGAAACCCCATCTCTACTAAAAAATTCAAAAATTAGCTGGGTGTGGTGGTGCACACCTGCAGTCCCAGATACTTGGGAGGCTGAGGCAGGAGAATCGCTTGAGCCTGGGAGGCGGAGATTGCGGCGAGCCGAGATTGCTCATTGCACTTCAGCCTGCATGTCAAAAGCGAGACTCCATATAAAAAAAAAAAGAAAAAAGAGAAAAATCTCTGCTCGTAAATTATGTCTTCGATATTTCCTTCCTTCTAGTTTTAAAGTTCATATTACTCATATATTGAATCTCCTGGTTTAATATGCTAATTTTCCTTATTCTTCCTCTTCTATTTTCTATCTTCGTGTTTATTGCTCCATTTTTTTTTGGTGGGGAGAGACCTCCACTTTATTTCCCATCTATTTTTTTCCCCCATTTCTTGTATTGACTTTTTGTTTGTTTCAATCATCAGATTTTCAATTTCAAAGTTTTTTTTTTTTTTTTTTTTTTTTTTTGAGACGGAGTCTCACTCTGTCACCCAGGCTGGAGTGCAGTGCCACCATCTCCACTCACTGCAAGCTCTACTTCCCGGGTTCATGCCATTCTCCTGCCTCAGTCTCCCTAGTAGCTGAGACTACAGGCGCCCGCCACCACGCCCAGCTAATTTTTTGTATTTTTAGTAGAGACGGGGTTTCACCATGTTAGCCAGGATGGTCTCGATCTCCTGACCTCGTGATCCACCTGCCTTGGCTTCCCAAAGTGCTGGGATTACAGGCGTGAGCCACTGCACCTGGCCTCGAAGTTGTTTTTTTTTAAAACATGCTTTTTGGATGTTTCTTGCTTATGCTTCTGTTCTTATTTCATGGGTGCAAAATCTTCCCTTATTTCCAAAGATGCCATGATGATGATAATGATTTTGTACTTTTCTTTCCTGTTCTTTGTTTTCTGCTGAGCTCCCTTTTTGATGATTTTAGCTTCTGTCATTCATATTAGATACTGCTCTCAAATTCTGAGTATCTTCATTTGTCCTTTCATATTTGAAAATGAACCACAACATCAATCATGAACTCTTCGCAGGGAGGGAGTCTATCGTGTGGTGTTCCTCGTCCCAAGGCAGTGGTTCTGAAACTTTTGGCGTGAGGACCTGTTTATACTCTTAAAAAATTTACTGAGAAGAGTAGCATTATTTCCCATTTTTGCAAATTTTTAATCTCTAACTTAATAGAACATAGCTGGATTCTCATATCTGCTTGTGCATTCTATCTGTTGCAATCTGTTGTTCTGGTTGAAGTATATAGGAAAAAAAATCCAGCCTCACACAGATATGTCACTAGAAAAGGAAAGAGTATTTTAATGGCCTTTCCAATTAAGTATGGATAGTCCACTAATATCCTTCATATTACACTGAAACTCAGCAAGCGGTAATGGGTTAAAGACCTGTTTGAGTCTGACACCACATCAATGCACTATACTGTTACTTTATTTTATTTTATTTTATTATTATTATTATTTTTTTTGAGACACAGTCTCGCACTGTTGCCCAAGCTGGAGTACAATGACGTGATCTCGGCTCACCGTAACCTCCACCTCCCGGGTTCAAGCAATTCTCCTACCTCAGCCTCCCACCATCACGCTCAGCTAATTTTTGTATTTTTAGTAGAGACGGGGTTTCACCATGTTGGCTGGGCTGGTCTTGAACTCCTGGCCTGAAGTGATTGGCCTGCCTCAGCCTCCCAAAGTGCTGGGATTACAGACGTGAGCCACCACACCTGGCTACTGAACCATTACTTTAAAATCCAGTGGCCTATCTTGTATTTAGAAAGGATCTTTTAATACAGTCCCAATTCCAAACATTTTTCTCCATATTCCTATAAAACATTCCCTTTGTTAGATCAGAAAATATAGTTCTGATATTTATATCATTTTCTTTTATAGAAAGATGGGTGTGATTAAATTAACTCTTTTCCCATTTAGAAAAAAAAGTTCAGCTCTCTGCCAGCACTCTTTTAATTTTACATAAGCATGCTCTTTGAGGCTGAAGCTAATCTGACTGGTTTTCTTTTCTTTTCTTTTTTTGGAGATGGAATCTCGCTTTTTCACCCAGACTGGAGCGCAATGGCACGATCTTGGCTCACTACAACCTCCACCTCCCAGGTTCAAGAAGTTCTCCTGCCTCAGCTTCCCCGTAGCTGGGATTACAGCCTTGTGCCACCACGCCCAGCTAATTTTTGTATTTTTAGTAAAGATGGGGTCTCACCCTGTTGGCCAGGCTGGTCTCGAACTCC